GTGCAAGAAAGTTCTCAAGCTTTCAAAATCGTCCTGAAAGTCTGATGGTAAAATCAAGACTTTGGGGTCTTTTTCAACTCCTTTTTTTTTCTCTTCACTGTTTGGCTTTTCAAGCAGCTGTCAGTAAGGCCTGTGCGTTTGATGATATGTCAGGAGGTTCGCCTCTGGTACATTCAGGGAGACCAGGAGAAATATCAGTCTCATTCCATAAGGTCAGCACTTCGATCGGGATTAATTTCACCATATACCACTTTCCTCAGGAGGGCACCTAACGGCAAAGGAAGACCTTGATCTCTCTCTCTCTCTCTCTCGCATTACAATCTGCATGTCAAAAAAAAAAAAAAAAATAGAGGAAGCACAATGAATTCAGACAACTTGTAAAAGACAGTAAATATCAGTAGATCAGAGTTGGTAAAAGGGAAATTGTTGGCCAACATTACCAGATGTGGTGCACTAAAACATATCAGATTTACATGAAGATCCTGTGTATTAGTTGAGGGGGTGGGGGCGTGCTCTTCCATGGGATGCTCCCGTCCTGGGGCTGCACTCCGGGCCATCTGCTGCTGCCTGAGGCTGGACCCCATCACAAACACCACAGAGAAGCCCCCAGCACCCCCCCATTGTTAGCACAGGCAGGAGGAGAGATGCCGCCTTCCAGAACAATGAGCTGCCCACGAATATTTGAGTGAATGAATGAATGATCCATGCGGGGATGAATTGCGGGGCTTTGGGGCACGGGGCTTTCTTGCTGTCGCCCTGGGGGGGGGCGTGGGCGCCGGGACCCCCACGGAGCTGGTGGCGGCACTTGCTACCTGTCAGCCTGCTTCAGTGCGAGCCGAGGTGATCAGAGGCCTGGGGCCAGGGAGCCCCCGCAGCCCAGCTGCAGGAAACCCTTCAACTGCCGTCAAAGGAGGGAGCAGACGACAGCCTGGCCCGGGGCAGCCTCGGGGCCAGCGACGGACTCCTCCGGGACGGGAGTCAGGGCCGTGGATTCGGTGCCGGCTGCCCCGCCCCTTCTTCTCCCGCTGTCCCTGTCTGACGCCCCGTATCTCCTCAGGTGCAAGTGCAACCTGCACGCAAACCTGTGCTCTGTGCGCGAAGGCAGCCTGCAGTGTGAGTGTGAGCACAACACCACGGGCCCCGACTGCGGCAAGTGCAAGAAGAACTTCCGCACGCGCTCCTGGCGGGCCGGCTCCTACCTGCCGCTGCCTCACGGCTCCCCCAACGCCTGTAGGTACTGGCCGGGTCTCCCCGGCCCTTCGCCTCCCACTGGGAGCTGTGGCACACACGCATGCACACGCGCACACGTTTGCACACACCACGCACGCGCACACCCCTAGTGACGGCTCCCAGGCCCGTAGCAAGACCCTCTGCACGCCTGTGTCCTGCTCAGTGCTGAGCCCCTCTCCAACCCCAGTGACCGCAGGGAAACCGGAGCTGGGCAGATCAACAGTTGTCCTGCTGCCCTTCCCCCTCCTGACCCTGCCTGCTGGGGGGGGGGGGCCCTGGGCAGGGGAGGGGGCAGTGCCGCCCTGAACAGGAGCCTCCATCAGTGTGCCACGTCCCGGCGTCTCTGGCCCGGCCACTTGGTTTTGCAGAGGTGATTCCGAGGCCTCCTCTGAGCCCCCGCTGAGCCCCCTCTGCTGTTCTCTGCCCGGTCCTCCCCTCCCCCCACTCAAGGGTACCAGGGAAGTTTGTTTCTGCACAAGAACACCTTGGGGGGCCCTGCTCACTGGGGACCCCCAGCCCAGTGCACAGGGGTGCCCAAGGAAGAAGGCCCAGGCTGGCCCTGGGCGAGGCGCCCTCCACCAGCCTCTGTCGTCTGCTGAGGTCGGACGTCGTCCGGTGCTTTGTCCCCTCCTGAGATGGTGGCCGGTATGTGCGGTGCCCTGGGCAGCTGTTGGGGATGACCCCATTCTCCACCTGCACACACTGAGCCCAGAGCTCCCTGGACGGCCCTGAGGCTCTGGGCCGCTGATGAGAGCAGAAGGCTGGGAGGCCGGGCTGTGATGGGCACGGGGTGGGTGGGCGGGGCCAGCATGGGACCACTCCCACCCGCTACCTCCTCCTAGGCTCCCACTCCAGTCTCTGTGGCCTCAATCCCTTCTCCAGTGGCAGTCCTCTGCCCTCCCCCTCTCCCTCCCCACCCCTGCTCCTCCCCTCCCTCCGGAGCGCCCGCCCTGCCCCAGAGAAGATTCTCTGAGGTCTCCCGTCTGCCTGCCTCCTGGACACCCATAGACGGAGACCCTAGGGCCTGCAGGTCCCTCGCTGTCCCCACCCCAGGCTGCTCCTCCTCGCTTCCCTACAGGGCTTGGGAGCCGTCCCTGGAGCTGGCCCCGCCCCTGCCTGGCCAGCCAGTCCCAAGAGGCCAGGGGATGCTGGGGTGCTCCTGCCCCACCTTCTCCAGGGCAGCCTGGCCCTCACCTGCCCTCACTCACGTGCCCCCATCTCAGTGAGCGGCACCCACACCCAGGAGGCCAAGCTGGGGGTCACCCTGGCTGGGGCTTCCTCCCCCACGGGCATCCCCCTCCCCCAGGGCTTCCCGCTGGGCTGCCCTTGGCCCCCGGGCTCACCTGCCTGGATGCCTTGATCTCCCTCATTGCTCAGGCCCTTGGGACAAGGCCGTGGTGTCCTCGTGCCCCCTTCCTCCAGCCCTGCCTCTGCCGTCCTCACCCCCACCTCCCCACCCCTAGAATTGGTCCCGGGAGGGTTCCCGCCTCGGGCCTGGTTAAGCAGTTTGTCAGGAAGCGTCCCGTCCCCTTGTCCCTTGGCCGCCGGACACCAGACATACAGCCCGCTGGTCCTGCCCTGGGGAGCCCGGGCACTCACTCGTGTATCCCCAAGGCTTAAGTCACAGCTCTGAGGCTCAGTTTCTCCATCTGCCAAATGGGCTGATGCAGTCGCTGCCTTTCTGGGCGCTGGCGAGGCTGACACAGGAAGTCCACCCAGCCCTGCCCTGTGGTCCCAGTGGGCAGCAGTGACTGAGTGGGCCCTGCCCCCCAGCCCAGGAGGAGACAGCCCCCCTGTGACAACGGACCTTCTCTCCCACAGGTGCCGCTGCCGGCTCTGCCTGGGGCAGTAAGTACACACCTGGGGCGCTGCCCCCCCCCCCACTGCACTTTGCATGTCTGGGGAAGGGGAGAGGAGAGGAGAGAACTGGCTTTGACGTCCTCTGGGCCTCGGCCCCTCCCCGCCCCCTCTCGCCCCTGTCTGCATCTCCATCTCCCACCCTCACATCATCGGTCATTGTCATTGTCACTGTGGCCTGTGGCCCAGCCACTAGGTCCCCAGGAGCTTCATTCCTGCTGCTTTGGAAAGCAGAGCCCCGCCCTGCCCCCACCGGAGAGGTCTCTGCCCCTCCCCCATCGGAGAGGTGCCTCCTAGAGTGGGTGAGGCAGGCGGGGCACCTGTCAGAGGGTTGGGGGAGGAGAGGGTCTGCACCTTGCTGGGCAGGACACTATACGCAGCCTCTCACTGTGTCCTCAGCCCCCAGCCCTTGGCAGACCCCAATTCTCAGCAATGCTCTGGGTGCGCCGCTGGCCACCACCAGGACTCTGAGGCCACGGCCTGTACCCCCCGGCCCGTCTGTCTGTCCCCCAACCTGGACTGCCTCCTGTGGGGTTGCCAGAGGCGGGGTTGTAAGCGACGTCTCCACCCTCTGGCTTTTCCCATCTCTTGCCAGGCGTCGGCAGGTCCCGGAAGGAGCCTGGCCCCAAAGCCCCCGCGGCCACTGTGGCCGTGAAGAGGGGCCCCACCACTCCCGCCCCGCTCATGCCCACTGCCCGGGCCCCCTCGGCCCCTCGCACCCCACAGCCCACAGGTGGGTGCCAGGGCGTAGCCAGTCACGCCTGCTGTCCAGCTTCCTGCTTCTAGACTGAGTCCCTGCCTTCTGCCGCCGCGGGGAGAGCGGAGCTAGCTTTTGGAGTAGTGAGTGCTTGAACCTACACTGGCCTCCGGGTCATCTGAGCCAACTTATCACCCAGCCGGTCCAGCTTCTAGAATCTTCCGCCTGCCCCTCCAAGGCATTGCTTGTAGGTACCCTGAGACCAGCAGGGCTACCCTGACATTCAACGAAAGATGAGCCCTGGCCCCAGGCGCACTCCTGCCTCCATGGTCCCTGGAGCTGGCCCAGGCCCCGTCCCCATCTGGCCATCAGCGTGGACAAAGCAGGGCCAGCCAGGAGGGCAGGCTCCTGGGGTCAGCGAGGCAGAGGGGGCCCTGGAGCTGGGGCTTTTAGGATGCTGGGGTTTGAGGCTGAGTGTGGGCAGGGCCGCCCAGGACAGACTTCCTGTCCCCTGTCGACCGCACCCCCTCCGGTCTGCAGCTGCCGTCACGTCTGGAAGCCTGTCTGAGCCTAATCATCTCCAGAGGTGGGATGTGTGGGTGCTGGGGTGGCCTCTGGTCTCACCTGGGGAGTCTGGCCAGGCTCCACCCACTGCGGGCCCCAGGAGCCGGACAGGACTCATCCCGACCCACGAGGCACATTCTTCCCGGTCCCAGTGGGGACGGCACCCCAGTAGCATCTCCCCTCCCCTGGAAGGGAGGTCATGGGGGATCCTGATTCCCTGGGCAGCGCCGGGCCCTCGCTCGCTCTGACGCCGTGGCCCTGCCGTGTCGTTCACTGCCCCACGGGGGAGGGACCGCTCCAGCCACTGGGCGAGGGGTCTGCCCACACCTGTGCCTTGAGGAAGGCTGTGTGCTTTGTCCCCGTGGGTGGAACCCTGTCCTCCCCCCCCCACACATACAGGACGTGTGTGCAGGAGGCGGGGGCTGCAGGGAGCCAGGCTGAGACTCTGGGCTTAGGACATAAGTTGGCCCAGCTGCCTGAGCCTGTGACGGGCGGGCGTGCTGGGGTGGCTGGGCCAGGCCCCGGGCGCGCTCACCGGAGGAACCTTGAATCTGTGTAGCTGCAGGAACACAGGCAGCCTGGGTAAGCTGGGAGTTAGAAGCCACAGTGAGGTTTGGAGAGGGTGCCCGGCCCGAGCGGAGCAGGCATGCAGGATGGACGCTGGCGGCTCTGCATCCTGGGCCCGAGGTGGGCACGTGGCTGAAGCCCCCGCGCCAGCCCCTGGTGTTCACCGGTTGGTACGGGCGGTGCTCGGCGCCTGTGCCTCCGGCTTCCCTGCTCAGCCCCATGAGATGGAGGCTGTCGCCTTCCCAGTACCCAGAGCAAGGGGACCGAGGCTTCGGGAGAGAAGCAGCTGGATCGTGTGGTGTGGAACTAAGACCTCAGTAAAGCTGTTGTGAAAAAGGAGCAGACCCATGACCGAGACTGGAACCCTGGCCTCGTGGGCTGCAGACGCCGTGGCCGCCTGGGCACTTAGCACTGAGGCCCGAGGCTTTGGGGCCATCGCGGCTCCCCAGTTCCCAAGGAACAGACGGGCTTCCATCTGGTCTTGGCGCGTGGCCACACCACGAGAGCCCTCCTCCGGCACACCTGAGCGCGTCCCTGGAGACTCCGGCCTGGTGTCTCCCTCCCCAGACCTCACCCCAAGGAAGGCCCCACGTCCCTCCCTGGGGGTCTCCCGACAGGGGCTTTGGGCTCTGCTGAGCTCTGCCCAGGTCCCCTCGGCGCCTGGCTGCAGAGGATGCTGGGAGACGGCCCCGGAGCAGGATGCCTCCAGGGCAGGTGCTGCCGCAGCCTAATTAAGCCCTTGCTCCCTCCTTGAGTGTCAAGTTGATGTCCAGAGGCTCCCAGCTCCCAGCTGGAGCGTCTCTGGCGCATATTCTGCCCCCGCCCACTGCCCACACCGCCCTCTCCGTGTGCGATCCTGGTAAGAGGCGGAGAGCACCAGCCCCTCCCTGGAAGACGGGTCACATGGCAAAGGACACTGCTGTCCCTGGAGGGGGACCCAACCAGGGCCTTTCGGGGCCTTGGTGGACGCGGGTGCCCTCTGCAGCACACACAGGCATGGCCCAGGGTGGGACTGCAGCTACCCCTACCCGTCAGCAGGAAGTCTGCCCACACCCCGCTGGCTTCCCGGACCGTGCGCCCAACACAGGCTGCAGTAGTGTAGACGTTGCCTCTGCGGTAGATTCGGACCCAGCTCTTCCTGCTGGTGTAGACAGAGCCTATCCCTACAGCGCTGCTGCTTCCAGGGGCCTGCAGGGGGCGATGCCCCAGTGGGTCCCCAGGCCCCCCCGCCCCCTCTCGCCTAACTTGCTTTCCTCTCTTCTTCCCCGCAAGAGTGGACCAGGTCCTCCGCGGCTGCCCCTCTGGGGGATAGCCGCCCCTGGCCCCAGGCCACCTCGACTGCAGAAGGTACTGGGGGGGGGGGGGACTGCGACAGGCCTTGGGCCCTGGGTAGCCCCTTGGACCCACCCCCTGGAGTGGAAGGAGCAGGTGTACAAGGAGGGGCCAGGTGTAGAGAGATTCTCTTTGGGACTCCGGGCCAGAGCAGTGAGGGCAGGGGTCCGGCGGCTCTGTCCCTGCAGCCTGGTTCACGGGACACTCAGGCAGGGGCAGGAGCCCAGGGAGGGCTTCCTGCAGGGGGAGGCACAGGTGACCCAGAAGGGGGTGACTGAGTAGACAAAGGGAGAAGGTGGCCCATCCCACGTGGCAGGGCCAGGCTCCCGGGCAAGGGGAAAGCAGAGCGGGGGAGGTTGTGGGAGGCACCACCCTCAAGTCGGAGCCTTAGTCTCCTGCTGCAGTGGGGGGGCTTCCAGGGGGCTGCACAGATGGGCACACACAGGACTCGCACAGGCCCACTCGGCCCTCCAGGGAGGGGGGCTGTCCCTGCCTGGTTCCCTTGGGTGGGCGTCCAGGTGTCCCAGCCGCACCCTGCCCCAGAGTTCAAGCCCCTCCCAGCCAAGCACCCCAGCTTTGTGTGGTGTCTGCTGGGGGAGCAGTCCTGGAGCTGGGCCCCAGGTTGGCTTCCTAAGTCAGGGCATGGACTCTGGGAAGGGAGACAGGTAGGACCAGGGCACCGCAGACTCCCAGAGGGAAACTGAGGCTGTGACACCCCCAGGTCGTAGGCGGCGGCAGGTGGAGCCACAGGCTGTGCGCGTCGCTTGACAGCACTTGCCAGTGGGCAGCAGGGTTGGAAGTGGCAGATGCCAGCTCTGGACTCCGAATCGGACGCTCGGGTAGCTGGGGAGAAGGGAAGTAGCAGAAGTCCCTGCTGATGGGTGTTTCAGACGGAAGGTCTGAGCACCCTGTGGGGGTGTTTGCAGGGGTGGGGGTCGTTCGGGGGGACTGAACTGGATATGTAAACAGTGTGTGGGGGGGTGAGCCAGGGGCAGGCTTCAGCAAGGTGGGGTGGTCCCCACCCGGGGGCTGTGTGCTCTCCCTGACTTGAGGCTGAGCAGGTGACAAGGCTGCCCCTCCCCCCGAGGCAGGCTCAGACCAAAGTTTCTCATTTCTGCAAGCTGCCCTGAGCCCCTCCACCGCTGCCCCTGGCCCCGCCAAGGGCTCCAGACTTTTCCAGCTCAAGCCCAAATCTCCTCACGTGATGCCCATTGAAGAATTCCCAGGTAAGAGGACGGCCCTGGCTGGGTCAGCGCGTGCTGGCGCCGCCCCTCCCTGCCTCGCCAGGAAACCACGAGGCAGGGCGCAGAACCCAGACCAGCTGGGTCAAGGTTAAACTGGCTCGCTCTTCCCTCCCGTCTCGGCCCTCCCCGGGGGAGCTGGGAGCAGGTATGAGTCAGGAGCCAACTCTGCACGGTGGACAGGCACTCGGCAGGCAGAACAGCTGCCAGAAATAGCAGGCCCCGGCTCCCCCGGGAGGTGCAGCCCAGGGGCTGGTCCTGGGTAGAAGCGGAATCTGGGACGGCCGGGTCTCAGACGGACGCTGCTCTGGGGACACCTGGAGGGGGCCTTCCCTCCTTGTTGTGGGAGGGGTGAGCGAAGGCAGCAGGCTCAGGAGGCCCCCAGGTGGGAGCCCGCCTGCTTCCCGCGGCACAGCACACGGGCTGTTCCCAGGTCTCCCCTAACCTTGACTGCTCAGGCCTGGGCCCGTCCCGCCCTCTCCCAGCCCGAGAGGGAGGCCGGCCGCTAGGGGTGCACCTGCGGTTTCAGGAGGGCGGCCGGCGCCTCCCTCGCCCAGGGCAGCCGCATTTCGTGGTCGGTGGCAGTGGAGGTGTTGGGTCCCTCAGGACAGCCCTGGGGACGGGAAGGTGACCTCACCAGACCCTGCCCCTTTGTGGTGGTGTGGGATCCCCCTCCGAGCCCTGCCCAGCTCGGGAGGTGGACTGGAGGAGGCGCAGGACAGCACAGACGTGGGGCTCTGAAGCCCAGGACGGCAAGGAGACACCAGGGCCCCCCACCCCACCCCAGAAAGGGCTTCGCTCTCAGGGTCCCTCTGGCGCTGGCCGAGCTTGGGGATGAGGACGCTCCCGCAGGCGGCCGATTGCCCCCGATCGTCTTCCAAAGCAGCACGAGGAGGAAGCTCCTGGCCCATGCGTCTCACCTGGGGGCGGTGCATGTGTCCATCCGCCCACGGGCCCACTGGGGGCACAGTGGGGAGCACCCTGGCCCCGGACACAGCCCCTCTGAGCTCACAGTCCAGTGACCCGGCCCTGGCAGCCTCGTGTGAGCCGTGTTCTGACCTCACGCCACCCGCCTGTGGGAATCCGTGGGTGGGGCCTTTACCCGTCCTCCTTTGGGCTCAAAGCTGGCTACCTACGGGAGTGTTGGAGGCACGGAGGCACCTTCTAGATCCGTTCCCAAAGACACCGCCCCCCACCCCGCATGTCCGGGGGCGGGCCCTTCCTCGCCCCGTGCCTCGGTTTCCCCAAGTGCTTGCTCACTATTGCTGTCTCTCCCGCTCTGCGCGCCCAGACTGTGAGTGCTACGGCCACTCCAACCGCTGCAGCTACATCGACTTCCTGAACGTGGTGACTTGTGTCAGCTGCAAACACAACACGCGCGGCCAGCACTGCCAGCACTGCCGCCTGGGCTACTACCGCAACGGCTCGGCCGAGCTGGACGACGAGAACGTGTGCATCGGTGCGCGGGCGCGGGCTGGGCTGGGCTGGGCTGGGCTGGGCTGCCCTGCCCTGCCAGGTGCGGGCCGGAGGAGGCGCTGGGACACACAGCTCCCGGTCTGCTCGGCAGCGTTAGTGTCAGAACCACTGGGGAGGCCGTGGACGTCCCAGCCGGAGGACAGAAGCCCCCGGGGTCCGCACTGACGGCCCCTCCCCGTGTCGTTCTCCCGGCAGGCGCCCGGATGCGGGTCAAAGGCTTCCCGAGCTTGCCTTGCTGGGTGCGTGCAGGCAGCCATTCCCCAATCCGGGCCTCTGATCAGAGATTTTTTTAAAAAGATTTATTTATTCGAAAGGCTGAGTTATGGGGGTGGGGAAGGAGACAGAGAGAGATCCTCCATCCTCTGGCTCACTCCCCAATTGGCTGCAACGGCCAGGACTTGCCTGGGCCAAAGCCAGGCGCTCCATCCTGGTCTCCCACGTGGGTGCAGGGGCCCAAACACTTGGGCATCTTCCACTGCTTTCCCAGGTGCATGAGCAGGGAGCTGGTTGGGAAGTGGAGCAGCCGGGACTTGAACCAGCATCCATATGGGATGCAGGTAGCGGCTTAACCCACTGTGCCATGTCACTGGCTCCAGATCAGAGATTTTTTTTCACCTTTTCCTGCTCCAAAGGCTTTGTAAGTGGAGGTGCAGCTTTGAAGCTGCCCCCTGCCCCCATGGGCCCTGTTCTGTTCTTCAAAGCTCTGCCCAAGGCTGGCTTTAGGGTGGACAAGAAGGGACCTGGGCCCCAGGCAGGGCACAAAGGGCAAATGATCGCCCGCAGCCAGCACCCCCAGCAGGCTGCCCTCAGCTGCTCCCCCTGCCCCCAGCAGGCTGCCCTCAGCTGCTCCCCCTGCCCCCAGCAGGCTGCCCTCAGCTGCTCCCCCTGCCCCCTGCCCAGCCCCTCCCACAGGCAGGCCGGGGCTGCTCACAGCTGGTGCTGTCAGTCTGAATGAGGGTGGCAGCCTTCAGATAATTCCATCAGCTCTAAAGTGATCAAAGGGGAACTGTGCCGCCGCCGACACCGAGGCCAGCTTGCAGACACGGCCAGGGCTCCTGGATCCGATTAGAGAAGGTCCCGTCCCCCGCCGCCCCCCCCCCAGCACCCTCCTCTGGGTGCCTGTCCCTGCCCCCACCCAGGCCCAGCACCCAGGTTTCAGGAACTCCCAGGGCAGTGGATCCAAGGACACCAGCAGGGCTCGGGCAGGTGGAAGGTGGGCTCTGGGGAGGCCATACAAGTTGGGGGTGGGGAGGCATCACACGCCCAGCCCAAGGATAGAGGCTCCGGTGGCGGGGCGGACCCCACGACCACCTGTCCTAGCTCCTTGGAGCTGGGAAGGCCAGGGCACGCCCCAGGAGCCCCGAGAGGGGCCACACAGCGCCAGGGGGCGGGCTGCTGCGGGGGTGGATGCAGCAGGGCGCTCGCAGGCGGCCGGAGGCGCTGACCTCCCCTGCCTCGGTGCAGAGTGCAACTGTAACCAGATCGGCTCCGTGCACGACCGCTGCAACGAGACCGGCTTCTGTGAGTGCCGCGAGGGCGCGGCGGGGCCCAAGTGTGACGACTGCCTCCCCACGCACTACTGGCGCCAGGGCTGCTTCCGTGAGTGTGCCCGGGCCGGGGGCGGGGGACAGCGAGGCCGGGCCGGGGGAGCGGCGGGCTGCGGCGGGGGACAGCGAGGCCGGGCCGGGGGAGCGGCGGGCTGCGGCGGGGGACAGCGAGGCCGGGCCGGGGGAGCGGCGGGCTGCGGCGGGGGACAGCGAGGCCCGGCCGGGGGCGGGGGCGGGGGCGGGTGGGGGGAGTGACCGGCAGGCGTCCCCTACCCCCTCTCCCCGGCTCCTCCTGCGCCTGGGCGGCCGGAGGGGACCACCGCCCGCATTCACCGCGTGTCCCCGCTCCCCGCCCCGCAGCCAACGTGTGCGACGACGACCAGCTGCTCTGCCGGAACGGCGGAACCTGCTTGCAGAACCAGCGCTGCGCCTGCCCCCGCGGCTACACCGGCGTGCGCTGCGAGCAGCCGCGCTGCGACCCGGCCGACGGCGGCCTGGACTGCGGCCGAGCGCCCGGCGCCGCCCCGCGCCCCGCCACCCTGCTCGGCTGCCTGCTGCTGCTGGGCCTGGCCGCCCGCCTGGGCTGCTGAGCCCCGGGAGCCGGCGCGCGAGGCGCGGCGGAGAGAAGGGTGCGGCCCGCGCTGCTCCCCGGTGCTACTCGGCCCGGCCCCCGCGCTGCACCTGCAGCGCCCCGCCGCCGGGCCCGCGGCCTGCGAACCTGCGCCCCTGTCTCTCCTCCTCCTCCTCTCGTTTCCTGCCTGCGGGTCGCCCCCGCCTCACTGTCGCTCCAGGACTGCTGCGGACCGGCGCACCGGGTCTCCAGCCGCCGGCTCGGTTCTCGTTGATATTCTGCGATTTCTCTGCAACCATGCAGGCCCCACGGGAGCCCTGGGGACCCAGGAACTCGCCGTCTGGGGGCGGAGGGGTGGAAAGAAGGCTTTTTTTTTTTTTTTTTTTTTGGAGGGTGGCAGTTTTGTTTTGTAGAGACCTATGCCTATGGATTAACTGTCCCCCTCTGGAGGGAGGCGGGCGGGGTGGCCACCGCGGGGCGGCTGTCCTTGTGTAACCCCGGAGTAAACAGCCTCACTGCTGCCTCCCGCCGGCGTCTGTCTGTCTGGGTGGGCCCTGGGCAGGTCCCATGGGGCTTCAAGGACAACCCAGGGAACAGGTGCGGCCCGGCTGCAGGCGACCACGTGTTAGAAGCTTCCAGAAGCTAAGGGGGGAAAAAATCCCAGGGCTCCCTGGCACTGGCAAGGGACAGACCGGTGCTGAGGCTGTCATGTCTCCGATGGACGGCCCAGGATGGACACCTCTTTCACACCTGGGGGGCCAGAACCCACAGGTGGGGCTGCACCCGCCGCTGCCTGCTAGGGCGTGTGCTGGCCCAGGGAGACCCCAGGGACCGGGCAGGCCCTCCTCCTCCCATCGTGGCTGGAGGCTCCTGAGACTCAGGGTCCGACGCCTCGGGCAGCTTTGCTTGGTGGGGGTCTCCCGGGTCTCCCCAGCATCACCCTGTTGTACTGGCTCCTGCCAGCTTTCTCCAGGTGGGGCAGCTCTAACCCGAGTGCTTCCCACCGCAAGTCGGAGCCGGGCTAAGGCTGCACTGAGCCCAGCTTGGCCTTGGGGATAACAGGCGAGTACAACACGGAAGCCCCCCTCACTGACCCCCCAGCTCCAGCCGGCTGGTAACCACTGGTAAATAGGATGGTTGACTAGCAGAGACCCAATGCTGCCCCCTACTGGCTTGCCAAGTTCCCAGCACCATGTTGCGGGGGGCCAGCTCTGCACCCCCAGAAGTGCCTTCTGCCAGGCCTGCTTGGCTCCCCTCTGCACCCTCACTTCCTCCTGAACAGAGCCACGCGGAGGTCCCCGGAGTGCCCTGGGCCCCTTGTGGGTGGGTGGGACCACGGGGCGCATTCTTGGCCAACACGCCCTGCAAGTAGGGGTGTGGGCCAGGCTTGCAGAGGGCCTTCCAAAGCCACTGGCTCGCCGTGCGCCTCACAGCCTCCGCGTTGGGCCCTCCCCATGTGTCAGCCTGTAGATGTGGGTTGGAGGTGGGGGCGGCCCCGAGCTCCAGCGGTGCCCCTCTGGGCGGGGACACCGGGAGAGGCAAGGTGCTCCCCCGTGGACACAGCAGAGTTGGCCTCAGGTTGCTGTGTGAGCCCCCCCGCCCCGCGCAGACGCAGATGGCTGGGGACCCCCAGCTCCTACTACACGTACACACCCACGTCCCCTTGGGGGGAGGGGCCGGGCGCCAGCTCGGTCCTCTGCTGCGTCAGCTTCCCTGGGACCAGCTCAGCCCGAGCTGAGCGGAGGTGGGGCGTGTTGTACATCAGAGTGGCAGCCCCACGTCCCCGAGGACTGCGGGGGCCCTGACCTCGGCCGAGGGCGGAGGGAAAGTCGCCAGTGGCCATTTGGAAAGCTCTGACATCTTCCAGGCAGCCGGAGAAGGAGAAAGCAAGGGCAGCGGCGCCAGGAGCGGAGAGCCGCCTCCCGGGAAGCGTGTGCGCTGTCCCCAGGGGCTGCCAGCCACGGAGGAGGCTCCCCTCTCACACACAGCCTGGATGCTAGGAGCCACTGCCCTTCACTGTCACCTAGGACCAGGGTTTCAACCGTGGCAGCTCCGAAATGGGCTGGCGGGGAGGGAGGCAGGGCCCCTGCCCCGGGTGCTGGGGATGTTTGGGGGCACCTGGAGGCCAGCAACACCCCTTCCCCGGCGTGGGCGTCCACAAACTGCCCCAGGCTGAGAACTGCCTTAGGAGGGAGGGATTGCCGTGCCCATTTTACGGAGGGGTAAGTGGAGGCCAGGAGCAGGGCAGCAACCCACCTGAAGTTGTTGCTCAGAAGCAGGGGCACGGGTTGCACCCAGGGCTGCCTGGCCCCGGGCCAGTGTTTAACCCGTCAGCCCAGCAGGCCAGCAGCCAGCCACGCGGGGACACGGGAACCAGCTCCCACCCACCCACCGACCTCTTCACCCTGCGGCCAGGCCAGGCTGAGCAAATAGCTCTGGGGACCAGGCTTCATGGAAGCGCCCGGCTCTGTGTCCAGGGCACTGCCCCGCGGCCCTAAATAAGCCGGATACCGCGTTGCAGTTGTGCCAGGCCCTCCGGCTCCCAGGCTCGATGGGCGCCTGGGGAGCAGCCCTGGGGCCTGAGCAGGGGGGTGGCTCACCTCCCCCCGGCCCTCCCCACTGCCAGCAGCCCCTTCCTCCCCGGGGACCCGCCCCCCAGGCCATCCCAGCAAATCTCGGGCCAGGAAAGTTCAGAGAAAATGAGGAAATGCTCTCCCCATTCATTTTTCGCTTTTAACGCAAATTACAACTTGGAAGAAAATCGTCATTTTTAACTTTGCGTCGCCCCAGCCTTGCACTCAGAGCCAGGAACCGTTAATATTTTCTGATAGGTACATTCAGCGCTTTTCCATAAATGAAACACACAGCCAGATGTCACCAGCCCCAACCCGGCATCGCAAGGCCCTGGGCTGAGGCCTGGCCGTGAGACCAAAACCACAGCTCTGGGCCACGTCAGCAGCACAGATTATGCAGAGGGCCCCGGGACCCACAGGCACAGCTCGGGAGAGCCGGATGTGAGGAAGGAACTGTGCCGCGTGTCCCTGGCAGGGTGGGCCTGTGGCTGGAGCCCCAGCTGCTGCGCAGGGCACTGCCTCACCCAGCCCAGCTCTTCAGCCAAGTCCCCAGTTCCTCCAAGGTTGAAGGATCAGAGTACGTGGAGGAAGAGGAGCAGAGAGGGTGTGCAGGCTGCGCAGAGCCCCACCTGCAAAGGCCGGGGGCTGGGTTCTGTCCCTTTCCCTACCAGTTTAACAATGGCCTCACCCTAGACACACCCTCCTTTCGTCTGCTCTATCCAGTTTAGCAAGGCCCAGGGGTTTGGCTCCATGGTCAAGAAGCTACTTGAGGGACTGGCGCTACGATGTAGCGGCTGCTGCCTGCAGTGCCACCATCCCATAGGGGCACCAGTTCAAGACCCGGCTGGTCCACTTCCAATCCAGCTCTCTGCTATGGCCTGGGGAAGCAGTAGAAGGTGGCCCGAGTGCTTGGGCCCCTGCACCCACGTGGGAGACCTGGAAGACGCTCCTGGCTTCGGATCAGCACAGCTCCAGCCGTTGCAAGCAGATGCAAGATCTCTGCCTCTAATTCTGCCTTTCAAATAAACAAATAATAAATCATTAAAAAATAAAAACGACTTCTCTGGGGTTGCAAGAACTGGGGTGGAGCTGAAGTCTCGCTCGCTCTTGGCTGCGACGTGGGAGCATGTGCCCCTGTACGCAGTTCACGATCTGTGCCCTGGGATGGTCATGGGGTGCGCACCGGGGACCTGGCAGGGACGTCAGACGATGCAGGGAACAGGCGTGTCCAGGCGCTCCTCAGACTCAACCCAGCGCGGGGCGCCATGCTTCCGCCGTCTCTGCCGGGGGCCAGAGCACACATCTCACACTGGTTGCCTTTTGGGGACCTGCCTGGATGTGGGCAGCCAGCCGTCTCCCTCCCCGCCCCCCGCTGGTATCAGGACTTCCTGAGCAGAATGGAAGCAGAGACACCCAGAAGGCCTCGGGACAGGGGCCTCGGCTGGCCTGGGCACGTGGGGATGAAGAACCACGGCCGGCACACACAACCCTTGGGGCACCTTTCCTCCTCGCCCAGTAGAGGGGCCCCGACACTGGCCGCTTAATGGAATCACCTGGGAATAATTTTTAAGACGGGCTATGACCCAAGCTCACTGCATCAAAACTCCTGGGTGCAGCCTGGGCGTCGGAACATTTCTGAAGCTCCCCGGCGCACCTGTACGTACGGCTGGGAGCGGCCAGCCAGGCGGCGCTGCTCGGCGGCACCGCGGAGCCCGGCTGCGGGGCCAGGCACTCCTGCAGGAGCAGCCCCCGGGCCAGGCGACAATAACTCAGGTCTTTGCAGTTAGGGGGGGTCCCCCGAGCGCAGGAACTGCCTCTGTAAATCGCAGAGGCTGACGCTCGGCTTCCGTTCCCTCCCTGAATTATTTATTCCTGGATGAATGGCCAGAGCCAGGAGGTGGGGGCGACCGCCTGGGATGGGTCAGCGGAGTCTGTGACTAAATAATCCGTGCCCAGCTGCGGCGAACCAAGCGCTCACCAGGCACTCGGCAAAGCCTGCCCCCGCCTCCGCCCCGCCACGTCCCCTCTGCGCCCAGGGGCGGGGCAGGCCGCCGTGCACGCTCCGGGCGGCCAGGAGGCACGGAGGCCGAGTGCTTCGTAACAAGCACAAGCGGGGAGCGTCCGACAACTCCCTGAAGTCTCTGCTTCCTAACACGCGTCCCGCTCGGGGGCGTGGGCAGTTACACCTGCTCTTCCTCCCCGCGCCAGCCTAATGGGGGGGGGGCAGCTGTTTCTGCTGGGCTGACCTAACCAACACCACCCCCAATTTCAACAGGAGGGCAGGCACACGGCAGCCAGCGGACGGACGTCAGCGCCGTAACTCAACACAACTTGCAGCCCACGGCAGCGTTCTCGGCTCCACCTCTAATTCGGCCATTTTCTCTTAAAATCCAGGTTTTAACAAGAGGGCTGTTGCCACCCGCAGCTGCCGAGTCTGGAGCATAGACCGGTGCCGTACAGCAAAACCATCACCTCACAGCTCATTCTAGCAAACAGCACATTCTCGTTGTGAAACGCATTTACAGGACACATTCACGTGTATCTCTCGAGTTTGCTCCTGGTAACCCACAGAAACCTTAACCGAGTGAACTGCGCACCAGGAACCCTGGGCGAATCACACACAGAGCAGCCGAAGGACACACTCAAGTGGAAAGAACTGAGCGCGAGCAGGCGGCGCAGGGCCCCCCACCCCCCGCCCGGCGGGCATGAGCCTCGGCTCTCACCTTCGGGAAAGACGAGCGCCCCACGCCCCGCGCCCCAGCTCTGTCGAGAGGCTCAGTCCACACAGGAAACACTTTCCACAGATACGTGACCAGCGAAACGACACAGCTTCAAGTTCAATGTCTGGGCCGGCAGTAATGCTGGCAGGCACTTCTAACTCCTGTTAATGAGCACAGGGGGCTCCCCCACCCCAGGCCCCGCCCCGCCGCCCACGGAAGTGGACTTTCTGGACGCTGACGGTGGTGACCACTGCAAGTCCGTTCAGTGGCGCGATCTCCAGGACACCAGCAGCGAGGCGCGGAGGGGGCTCCCGGAGCCCGTCCCGGGGTGGGGCTCCCTCCCGCCCCCGCCAAGGACACAGAGGCTGCCTCGGGGCACCAAGCACTCGGGAAGGCGCCCACTTCCTGGTTCAGAGCGTCAGGCAGGCAGGTGTCCGGTGCAGGTGGGAGACACCGGCAGTGACGGCTCAGGGCGCCGTCGACGCCGCCCCACACTCCATCAACACGGCTCCCCTCCCCCAGGTGGCTTCTGCCGGCTCTTCCTCGTGCCAAGCGCCTCCTCGTCATCTTTTTTCTTTCCTGCCCGAAATATTCTGCCGGGCCTGGCCCAGAGGTCTCCACGCTGCCTGGCGATGGGAGCCCTGGGGAAGCGTCTTCCCACACAGCTCCCCAGGCCCCAAGACCCGCGAGAGTTCCCTAGCTCTCGGCCAGAGGCGACGCCGTGGCCAGCGAGGCAGGAATCGCCCAGCAACCACCAGCGCTGGGGGCTCCCGCCGGATGGGAGCCCAGTGGCAGCTCCAGAAGTCACCGTCCAGCCCGATTCCACCCGAGGAGGAGGAGGCACGCGCGCACTCCAACAGCCAGCCGACTCGGCCCAGAATCTGACGCCCTGAGCGAGGCCCTCTGTGCCCCCCAAGGTCCCTTTTCCTGACTGGAACCAGACCCGCCTGGCGCCGACTCGCACCTGCTTTGTACATGGAGGGTCTGTTCTCTGGAAAAGTGATTAACATTTTAAGCGGAGAAAAGAAAAAGTCCACTAGATTAAACTTTAAAAGCGTCTTGTTATTTGCTATACAAATATACATTTCAACTCTTACAACATTCACTACAGTCTAACCTTTCTAAGGAACGAGGCGGCGCCCAAGGACACCGCGGACAGGCGCCCAGGGGCCCGGGCTCCCACAGCACCGCAGCCGCTAAGGGCGAGCGGGCGGCCTGGCGCGGAGACCCGCGGCGGCGGGAGGGCGGGCGGGCGTCACTGCCAGAGCTGCTGCTGCTTGGAGCTGCTGTCGCCCTCCGCTCTCCACGCGTCCCAGCCCGAGTCCCGCCACGCGTAACAGCGCCCCTGCCCGCCCTCGCTCAGCGCCCGGGCCTCCCACCTTCTCTTGCTCACGGCAGCGTCGGGACCAGCAGCCAGAGGCTCCCCCTGCCCGGGAGGCTGCTGGGCGCTCAGCGTGGCCAGCCTGGCCGCGGCCTGCTGCCCGGCACCGCACGCGTCCTGCGGCGCGCCAGGGCAGCCGGGCTCTCCCGCCGGAGGGGTGCATCCAGGGTGCTGGGGGCTCGGGGGCCGTGGCTCCCTCAGGACACCGCCCTGGGCGTCGGCGCGCATCCTCTTCAGTAGCCGCGGGTCCCGAGGCGGGTCCTGCACCGCCTGCCTTTCGGGCACCGTGGAAGCCACAGCGTCCTCCTTGACGTCAGAGAGCGCGTGGCACAGAGACGAAGCGAAGGACGTCCAGGCGAGCCCGCCGTCCAGCCTGTTGCTGGGCAGGCCGCCCTGGGGCCTGGCCACCTCCGGGACCGTGGTGGGGGGGTGGGCCGGGTGCCTCTGCAGCACGGGCTTCAGCTTGAGGATCTTCAGGGCGTCGTGCCTGTAGCTCTTGTCGCAGGTCTTCACGATGGCGCCGCGCTTCTGCGCGTCCTGAATCAGCTGGTTCCAGTGCTGGTTCTCCTGGGACACAGGGAAGAGGGTCACAACCAGACACGCGGTGCTGGCCAGCGCGCGGCCCAGCTCTCATTCTAACACGTGAGGACTCTCTTGGAGCCGGCGCTGTGGCATAGCGGGGAGACGCCGCCTGCAGTGCTGGCATCCCATCCGGGCGATGTCAAGACCCAGCTACTTCTGACCCAGCTCCCTGCTGTGGCCTGGGAGAGCAGTGGGAGATGCCCCAGTGCTTGGGCCCTGCGCCCGCGTGGGAGACCCAGAAGAAGCTCCCGGCTCCTGGCTCAGGATTGCTGCCGCTCTGGCCATTGTGGCCATCTGGGGAGTGAACCAGCAGATGGGAGACCTCTCTCTCTGTCTCTACATCTCTCTCTCTGTGCCTCCCTGTAGCTCTGCCTTTCAAATAAATACATAAATCTTAAAAAAAAGTAAAAGAACGAAAGAACAGGCTGGGACGCCGGATGGCGAGTGTGAGGGAGGCAGCTGGCTTCTCGTCATGGCACCGCCCTCCTCCAGCCACGGGCAGTGGAGAGCGGCCCAGGACGGGGTGTCAGCCGTCTCCACACCAGCTCCCTGCGCCCCCTCGGGCTGTCCTGCCGCCTCACGCTCCCCCCTGCTTGCTCTCAGGCTGCACCACCAGGCATGCGACTCCTGCTGTGTGTGGAGACCCTGCCAGCAAGACCCAAGGGACCAACCTGCAGGGACACTTTACTCTGCAAACGTAAGCGTGCGTCACCACCAATCTCTCACACGCTTTGCTCAACTGTGCACACAACTGTGGCACGCGAGCCCGCCTGCAAGAAACCGGATTTTCTCAACACTCAGCTCCAATGGCCACAGGAAAAATAACTTCTAAAAAATATTTTGACACAACTACAAATTTACAGGAAGTTACGCACCCTTTATAGTTTTCTCGAAGCTATGAAACAACTGCCCGTTTCCGCACCCATCTGTGCAGAGCACACGGTGAGACGGCAGAAGGGCCCCAGCCACAGCACAGACCACCCACGGACCCCGCCCCACACAGGAGTGGAGACAATCTCAGAGACAGGAAGAGGCAGAACTGCCATCTTTCTGTCCTTCTGCTGCAGCTAAGGGCGACAACAGTCTAAAATCCATCTGTAGTGGCATTTAAACTTACGGTGACATTTTCTTGATAACTTAAAAACAGAAGTACATAAAAACAAAGGCTACAGCGCTTGGACCCAGAGCAGGCACAGGGCTCCGGTGCAGGCGAGAACGTGTACTTGAGCGCCCTCTGCTGGCACTAACCACCGTGGGGACGGCAGTGAGCGAGGGTTAGGGTTAGGCGCTCAGAGCCACTGGAGCCCTGCGCGCTGAGGGGGAGCCCCGAGCACAGCCGCACTGGGCGCCCCAAGCGAGCCAACGAGCGCCCGTCCCTCCCACGCCCCCGGGGGGTCAGCCACGCCCACTGACGCGCCCTCTCGCTCCTGTGCGGGGGACACAGGAAGCAGGGCACACTCTGGCGCCGCTGTGGTCCCGAGCATGTACCTACCATGAGGGTCCTCAGATGTCCAAGGATGAAGAGGCTGTACTTGGCTCGCGTAATGGTGACGTTCATTCTCTGCAAACTGGCCAGGAACCTAAGCAACGAGAGAGAGCCCCTTCTTGGTCTAGAACGGCTGAGGCAGGCGGGCGGTACTTCACACGGCTTCTCCAGCGCTCCCGCCACTGCCTTAGAAAGCTCGGGGAACCCTGGCGCAGGAGCGACTCCCACCGAAGGCAGAACAGACCAAGCAGGGCGCCGTGTCTGCTTCCTATTTTGCCTGTGATACGATGCTAGAAATTTTTTTTTTCTAAAATATGTCCTCATTTTATTGGACAGGCAGAGTTACAAAGAGAGGGAGAGGTAGTAGAGACAGATCCTCCATCTGTTGGTTCACTCTCCAAACGGCCGCAACGGCCGGGGCCAGGCGAGGCCAAAGCCAGGAACCTGAACACCCTTCAAGCCTCGGGCTTGGGTGCAGGCCCAAGGACGTGGGCCATCCTTCCACAGCTTTCTCAGGCCATCGGCAGGGTGCTGGATCGGAGGCAGACAGCCAGGTGCTGGCACTGCAGACGGGCTTGACCCACTGCCGGCCCCAGAAATTCTACTTGAACAGTAGGACTTTAGGTTTTAGAAATAACCCCAGGGGCAGGCAATCAGCCGAGTGGTTAAGATCCTGCATCACAGCATCGGAGCACCTGGACTGGACACCCGGCTCCAGCTCCTGCTCACGAGGGCCCCAGGAGGCAGCAGCACGGCGGAGGGACTGCTTCTGCCGCCCACGCGGGAGACCTGGATTGAGCCCAGTTCCGGCTTGGCCACTCGGACCCCAGCCCAGGGCGGATGCGGCAGGCAGCAGGGGACTCCATTGGCAGATGACAGCCTGTTCTCTATCAGTCTCTGTCTCACTGTCCCTCAAAAACCTTCTCTAAGAGTACACAAGCTCATGTACTCATGAATGTAAACGCGTGTTCGTGTTGTTAGAACACTGCGAACTAGCACAGAAACAGACACACTTTCAGGAAATGGTCCTGTGGGAACCGGGCTCCGCACGGCAGGCGGCCCATCCCATCCCAGCGGAGCGGAGAGCACTTACGTTTTATTTTCTGAAGGAATAGTCAAACAGGTTGACCACCTGTACATCCTACCTGCCTTGCATGAGTGAGAACACCACCACACAGACTCCTAGAGACTAAAGGCGTTCCTGCCATCCCTGGGAGTGTCCTCAGCAAGTTAAGTGACAGCAGCTAAAGAGAACAAACCCAGGCAAAGCAGGAAAGACACCACCTCAGGACACACGCCATGAAGAGTAACATACCCATGGGGCTGGTGCTGTGGCACACGGGTAAAACCCCAGCCTCCAGTGCCGGCATCCCATATGGGCGCTGGTTCTAGTCCCGGTTGCTCCACTTCCTATCTAGCTCTCTGCTGTGGCCTGGGAAAGCAGTGGAAGATGGCCCAAGTCCTTGGGCCCCTGCACCCGCGTGGGAGACCTGGAAGAAGCTGCTGGCTCCTGGCTTTGGATCAGCTCAGCTCTGGCCTTTGCAGTCATTTGGGGAGTGAACTGGCGGAATGGATGACTTCTCTCTCTCTGGCTCTACCTCTCTCTGTAACTCTTTCAAAATAAACAAAACAAATCTTTAAAAAAAAAAAAAAAAAAAGAGTAACATACCCCTGCAAAATATGCGTCACCCAATTATTTATTTCACTTATGAAAAAACTATGGATTTAAAAATATTTTTCAGCAAAATAAACATCTCCTAATTTCATTCATTCTTCCATGAACTTTGCCAAGCCCTCTCCTATGGCAGACAGCAGGGAAAGCAGAACTAACAGGTCTCCAAGTCAGACATCCTCATGCTGCTACACAAGATCTCACCAGAAAACAAAGCGAGCGACGGTGTTCTGCAGCAGGATCGGCAATGATCTAGTCCTGGATGATAAACAAGTGAACAAAGCAGTGACAGGCCACTCACCCAATTGAGCCTTGCAAGGCATTTGCTCTGACACACGTGACAATGACACAGTCCTTCTGCCGGCCCTGGAACGCATCCACAGTATCTACTTCCGCCGGTCTAAACACCCAAGAGAAACACACTTACCCAAGTACAAAAATCACTCAATGCACATGTTAATTTAATAGTGTTTGAGAAATATTTTTCATGGTACTTTTGCCATTAGTCCCCGTTTCACCCTCACCCCAGGCTGTGAGAATCACTAACCACTCTGCTGTCTGTCTCTGTGACTTTTCTCCACTGGAAATCTCATATCAACGGAATCGTGCGATGTGTGACCTCCTGCGCTCGGCTGCCCCCATCACGACATCGCCAAGGCTCCCCCAGACCGCGCCACGCCCAAGTACTCCACTGCTCTTGGACGACGGCCTCCCCGCACGGACCCAGCACGACGCACTCACCCGCCCACCACGGACGGCTGCTTACGCTGTTCCCACTCGATCGATGCTATGACTAATGCTTACGATTAAGTATTTAAGTGGATTTTTAAGAAAAATAATCTATCTTTTTATGTATTTGAAAGGCAGAATTAGACAGAGAGGAGAGAGGAGAGAGCCAACTCCCCATCTGTTGGCTCACTCCTTCAACAGCCAGGGCTGGGCCAGGTCAAAGCCAGGGTGTGGAGCTCCACCAGGTCTCCCCTGTGGGCGGCAGGGACCCAAGCAGACGTGGGCCATCTGCGGCTGAAGCAGGAAGCTGGATCACAAGTGGAGGCCTGCAACCGGAACCAGCACTCTGGTAGGAGATGGGCCGTCTCCAGCACTGGCTGAACCAGCCGTGCCAACAGTGGGGCCACACTGCCTGGGCCTGCGCGGGCATTCAGTTCTTCAATTCTGGGGGTGCACCTAGGAGTGAAGTTCTAGGTCGCACGGTCAGGCTACAGCTCGTCCTTGGTTACCATTCTCACCAGCGGTGTAGAAGGGCTCCAGCCTCTCCACATCTTGCCCAACACTCGTTACCGTTTCCTAAACCGCAGGCTGCAGTGAGTGTGATGCAGAATACTGTTGTTCTGAGCTGCATTCCCCTCATCACACGTGAGGTTTATGTGCGTATGAGCCATTTCTGTCTGTCCCTTACTGGGGCCGGTACTGTGCTTAGTACATTAAGCTTCTGCCTGAGGCCCTGGCATCCCACAGGGGCACCAGTTCGAGTCCTGATACTCTCTCTCTCAACCTCCCCTCTCTCCTCGCCTCCCCCCACCCCATAACTCTGCCTCCCAAATAAGTACACCAATCTCAATAAACAATCTCAGCTGTTGTTGCTGTTGGGTGTTAGATTCCCTGCATGTCCCAGAGGAGCCTCTCACACACACTGGCGAGCACTTGCTTCCATCACCTGTTCTCTTCTCACTCGCGAGTCCTCCCACACACAAAAGCTGTCCATTTTCATCAAGTACAATTCACCCATTTTAATTTCTCTGGTTGTGTCTAAAAAACCGCTGCCTGGGGCTGGTGCTGTGGCATAGTGGGTAAAGCCACCACCTGCAGTGTCGGTATCCCATACGGGCGCCGGTTCAAGTCCCAGCTACTCTACTTCCAACCCAGCTCTCTGCTGTGGCCTGCAAAAGCAGTAGAAGATGGCCCAAGTCCTTGGGCCCCTGCATCCACACGGGAGACCTGGAAGAAGTTCCTGGTTCTTGGATTCGGATTGGCCTAGCTCCAGCCGTTGTGGCCATTTGGAGGGTGAACCAGCAGATGGAGGACCTGTCTCTCTTTGCCTGTGACTCAGCCTTTCAAATAAATAAACCTTAAAAAAAATTGGGGGGCCAGAGCTGTAGTGTAGCAGGTAAAGCCACCGCCTGCAGTGCCGGCATCCCATATGGGTGCTGGATCATGTCTCGGCTGCTCCTCTTCCGATCTAGCTCTCTGCTATGGCCTGGGGAAGCAGCAGAAGATGGCCCAAGCCCTTGGGCCCCTGCACCCCTGTGGGAGACCAGGAAAAAGCTCCTGGCTCCTGGCTTCGGATGGGCGCAGCTCTGGCCATTGCGGCCATTTGGGGAATGAACCAGTGGATGGAAAACCTCTCTCTCTGTCTCTGCCTCTCTCTCTGTAACTCTGTCCTTCAAATAAACCTTAAAAAAAAATAGTACCTTTAAAAAAAAAGAAATTTTAAAACACATTTCCTTCAACAATGTTTTATGGTCAATGTTGAGTGTACAAGTCTTCCACTTCTTTGGTTATATCCATTTCTAAGTATTCTATCTATTCTTTTTCAAAAGATTCATTTATTTATTTGAAAGGCAGAGTGACAGAGAGATCTTTCATTCTCTAGTTTACTCCCCAAATGGTCACAACAGCCAGGGCTGGCCTGGGCTGAAGGCAGGGGCCAGGAGCTCCATCCAGGTCTCCCACATGGGTGCAGGGACCCAGGGGTTCCTGGGCCATCACCTGCTGCCTCCCCAGCCACATCAGTGAGGAGCTGGATCGGAATGGAGCAGCCAGGACCGAAGCCAGCATGCTGAACCTGGGTGTTCCCAGCAGTAGTTTAATCCACTGTGCCACAACGGTCCTACGCATTTTATTCTTTTTACACTATCTTAAGCGGGATTGTTTTTATTTCCTTTCCTACTGTTTATTTGTAGCACACAGAAAAACAGCAGACTTCTGAACACTGATCTTGTATCTCGCAACTTTGCTGTGCTCATTAGCACTACCGGCTTCTCTGTATGGATTTGCTAGTGTGTCTGTGAATGAGACCAGGTCATCTAGGAAAAATGACGGTTTCACTTCTTCCTTTCTAGTATCAAAAAAGCCTTCCGTCAGTTTCGTGCTTAACCCATCTGGCTGGAGTTGGCCCAATACAGCAGCAAGAGCGAGCCCCATCAGAGGCCCGGGGGCAGCGCCAAGCCGCCCACAGCTGGCCCGGCACGCACGTCCGTGCACGGTGCTGGGCTGTCTCACAGGCTTTCCTCTATCTACGAGGCAATCGCCTCCCCCTGCTCTCGGCGCAGCGCTGCCCCCTGGATGCCAGGACAAACTCCAGCCGGGGCTGCTGCACAGCCCTACAACGCTGAACTCTTCCGTCAGTGTGCTGTTGAGGGTTTCCGGACCTGTGCCGTGAGCGGAACTACCAAACGGAGACAGAGCGTGAGGGGGAGAGGGCCACTGCGAAGTCTTGTCTTACTATTTGGTGGACCTCACCAGTGAAGCCTGCGGCTGGGTTTTTCATTATTAGGAAGTATCCGATCACCAACTCTGTATCTCTTGGCTTGTTAGGCCTATTCAGATTTCTTATTTTCCCTAGAGTCAGTTTTGGTAGCCTGTATGTTTGTTTCTAGGTTAAGATACAGTTGAATTTATGGGTTTCCAATATCTGACTTTTAGTATTGGGTAAGGAGACGAAGGATGACTTTCAGGGGCCACTGCTGGCAACGCCACCGTCGCCTATCAGAGCGCTGGTTCAAGTCCTGGCTGTTCCACTTCTGAGCCAGCTTCTTGCTAATGCACCCGGGAAAGCAGTGAGAAATGTCCCAGTGCCTGGAGACTCAGACTGAGTTCCTGGCTCCCAATTTTGGCCTATTCCAGCCCCAGCTGTTGTGGCCATCTGGGAGTAAGTCAGTGGACAGAAGAACTCTGTCTCTCCCTCTCTGTCACAATGTCTTTCAAATAAATAAATGTAGGCCGGTGCCGTAGCTCACTAGGCTAATCCTCTGCCTGTGGCGCCGGATTCTCTCCTGGTTGCTCCTTTTCCAGACCAGCTCTCTGCTGTGGCCCGGGAGGGCAGTGGAGGATGGCCCAAGTGCTTGGGCCCTGCACCCCATGGGAGACCAGGAGGAGGCACCTGGCTCCTGGCTTCAGATTGGGGCAACACGCCGGCCGTAGCAGCCCTTTTGGGGTGAACCAATAGAAAAGGAAGACCTTTCTCTCTGTCTCTCTCTCACTGTCTAACTCTGCCTGTCAAAAAATAAATAAAAGTAAAAAATAAAATCTTCAATTTGCACACAAAGGTATTGAAAGGGTTAAATAATCTACTCAAAGCAGAATGTGACTTCACTACTTCTGCCGCGATCAGAGTTCGGATGAACACGTCACGGGACCCTGTTCCCGCATAAGGCCGACCTCCCACGGCCGCAGGGGCACCAGCAGCCACAGGCGGCCCGTGCGTGCCCTCGCGTCCTCTGCTGCACTGCCACTTCGGGACCCTCTCCCTCCCCCCGGCCCAACACAACAGCTGCGGAGCGCCTCACCCTCTTCTGTCGAACTCTTTGTCCAGATCCTTCTGGATCATCGTCTTCTGGGCCTTGTAGTGGGTGATTATGCCGACGTTTCGAAAGGTGATGTCCCTTCTTTTGTCTTTAATAAGCTTGATTATCTCCATCACCAATTTGATTTCTTGAATATTTACATATGAGCTACATAAGACAGAGAAGAAAACACACCAAAGTTACCAGCAGTCCAACTGCCAAGTCCCACGGGTGGCTCTGCCCCCCCCAGTACAAGAGAGGCGAGCACTAAAGGCACACACGCACAAACGCAAGCCAACTGAGCAGACGCCAAGCTGCACGGAGAACAGTGTGGAGGCAACAGAATTTCTGGCAGCAACTACAGCTGCTGTACGAGGGACAGCAACAGTAAGAGCGGTACTTCAACAGTCAGCGTGGAGACACACCTGACATGAATCAAGGACTTCCTGTCTTCCACCACCGACAGTGTTTGAGCTGTGCCCCTTCCCTCAAGTGCCTGCATGGCCACGCGGGCCACGTGACAGACAGACCGTGAGCAAGGCCACCAGGGCTGAACCCTGTGACGTCACCTCCTGCCCTCAACTCCCCTCCCAGGCTACACGCTCCTCACCGCCACCCCGATCCAACACGTGACGGCACCGCGGCAAGCACTGCCCGCTCAGCACGCACCCTCCTGACTCGGGGACGAGCCGGCAGCTGCGCCCCCACCCTCCCTTAGCACTTCCCAGACTGCCTCTCAGGAGAGGCAGAGAGACGCACATGGACAATGTTCCAAGTGCAGACCTGAGCAGGAAATGATGGATTTGGGGCCACCCCCCGGGACTGAGGAGGGGACATACTCGTTATCCCGTCTTTCGGAACCATCCCCGACATCGAACACGAGGTAAGGTTGAAACGGCCAGTCTGATGAACACCGGTTGGTCTCAGTCAGTCTATAAAAAACCAGCCACCATTCCAAATGTAAGTCATCAGAGATACTGTACTATTATCACTACTGTTTTCCTCTGGGAGGAGGGAGCTGGGAAAGTTAAGAGGGGAGGAGAGACCTTCCTTTGCAGATGTGTGTCAGGGAAAGAAACAGAACACTGCATTTCTATTCTAGTGCTGGGGAGAATGACCTACGTAATTAAACTATGAAAATCTATGAGTGAAAAATGACTTGTAAGTTTAAAAAGTCATAAAATAATTAAGCAGAGGGTGGTCCACTGTTTCAAAAGGACTGGGGGTGCTGGCGCTGTGGCACAGCGGGTAAAGAGCCATGGCCTGCAGTGCTGGCATGCCATATGGGCACGGGTTCGAGACCTGGCTGCTCCTTTTCCGATCCAGCTCTCTGCTACGGCCTGGGAAAGCAGCAGCAGATGGCCCAAGTCCTTGGACCTCTGCACCCATGTGGGAGACCAAGGAAGAAGCTCCTGGCTCCGGCCTGGTGCAGTTCCAGTCATTACAGCCATCTGGGGAGTGAACCAATGGGTGGAAGACCTCTCTCTCCCTCCCACCCCCACACCCACCTCTCCTTCTCTGTGTAACTCTGCCGTTCAAATAAATAAATCTTAAAAAAATAAAAAGGACTGGAAGCACATACACAAAAACGCACACAGTGACTCTCTCTGGGCTGTGTGACAAGGAGTCATCGCTCTTCCCTGGCACTTGCCGAGCCAACGTGGCTGTTCTAATCAATGGTTAAAGTCTCTGGTCAGTGCTTTCATGACAGGACGCGAGAAGGCAGAGCGACAGCTCTCCGCCGCGGGATCCGCTGGGCAGGGCGGCGAGCACACCCACCTATTTGTTCTCAAGCTCCTGTTGTACACGTAGTTGGAGGGGAAGAGGCATATGTCCGGGTGCATGCGGTACTGCACGGTGAGCTGCAGGACGGGCAGCCTGCCCACCCTGCTGCGCTCCACGGCCTCCTCCAGCAGCTTGCAGAAGCGAGCCATCATCGACTGGTCGTAGCCGTACTCCTGTGCCTTCTGCCATGAGGAGAGGAAAGGAAGAAGCTCCAGGAATTCACTTCGACTGCCCCACTATCACGACGGCAAGGCTGAAGTGGCTTAAGACTACGAAAAAGTCAGACTCCGAGGAAGGAGAGGTTTCTGACCCTGACTGTCAAAAGCCATGGATCGGGGCCGGCGCCGTGGCGCACTTGGTTAATCCTCCACCTGCGGCGCCAGCATCCCATATGGGCACCGGTTCTAGTCCTGGCTGCTCCTCTTCCAGGCCAGTTCTCTGCTGTGGCCTGGGGAAGCAGTAGAGGATGGCCCAAGTCCTTGGGCCCCTGCACCCACGTGGGAGACCCGGAAGAAGCTCCTGGCTTCAGACTGGCGCAACTCCGGCCGTTGCAGCCACTGGGGAGTGAACCAATGGATGGAAGACCTTTCTTTCTCTCTCTCTCTCTCTCTCTCACTGTAACTCTACCTCTCAAATAAATGAATGAAACAATCTTTAAAAAAAAAAAAAAAAAAGCAGCCATGGACTGATCCCGTAACTTGCACTACCTCCCCGTCACTTACAGCCCACACCCTGCTTATCAGACAGGCTGCTGGGAATGCCGCGCCAATGCGAACAGGAAAGAATCTGAAAAGCAGTCAGAAAGAGAGAAATCTAACAGACTTTAACAAGCTACTTCTAGTCACACCCTCGCAGCAGAAATAGTGGGTGCCGTAGTCAGCAAGCCTTCTGCAGACCTTCTCTCCACCCACATCCACACAGAGCATCGACGCCGTGGCACACGCAGGCTCTCATCTCACAACCAAGCCCCGGGAGAAAGAGCGCCCTCACACACGGGGGAAAGCTGTCCTGCACACCCCTCCGTGCTGGCATCACGCTCACGGAGAGCTTCCCTACACACCTGGAGTAAAGCGTGCTCTGAAAACAGGATGGCACCTTCACGAGTGACGCTGAGGATACTGGGTCCAGAGATGTACGTGCAAGTCTAAACAAGCCCGTTTCTCAAACTGAGAAACAAGGCCTTACTCCTCAGTCAGCGGCCGTGTGTGTGTGTGTGTGTGTGTGCACTAAAGCCACAGTGACAGAGCACACAGACATCTTCCATCCATGGTTCACTCCTCAAACGGCAGCAAGAGCTGGGATGGGCAGGCTAAAGCCAGGAGCCAAGAGCTCCATCCACGTGGACGGCAGGGCCCACACTTGGGTCATCGTCCACTGCCTTCCCAGGTGCATGGGCTTCTAGGGCACAAAGCAGCCCAGACTTGAGTCAGCTCTCTGACACGGGATGCAGGCGTTGCAAGCGGGGCTTAACCCGCGCGTCACAACGCAGGCCCCAGGCTGTCCTTTTCTCTTTACGGCGTTTCCCCTAATTGGCATCTGTCTGATATGAACCAGGAGGCTGGCATTCTCCGCCATGCCTGCTATGTTCTCATGTTTGTGCTGCTGGAATTAACCAGGCACAGCCCTCACAGTGTCCGCACAGGGCCTCCCCGGGCAGGCCTGGCACGCAGGCACCTGATCCATCTACACACAACCAGCAACTAAGGGGCGTCTTCAGAGACTTACACTTACACTTATTAACACCCAAACAGTGCTGGGGCCGGTGCTGTGGCGCAGTGGGCTAACACCCTGGCCTGAAGCGCCGGCATCCCATATGGACACCGGTTCTAGTCCCAGCTGCTCCACTTCCGATCCAGCTCTCTGCTATGGCCAGGGAAACCACTAGAAGATGGCCCAAGTCCTTGGGCCCCTGCACCCGCGTGGGAGACCCAGAAGAAGCTCCTGGCTCCTGGCTTTGGATCAACGCAGCTCTGGCCATTGCAGCCAATTGGGGAGTGAACCATCGGATGGAAGACATCTCTCTCTCTCTCTGCCTCTCCTCTCTCTATGTAACTCTTTCAAATAAAAATAAATAAATCTTAAACAACAACAACAAAAAAGACCCAAGCAGCGCTTCCCCTCCTTGCTGACTCCTTAGTTTTCCGTGCAGATAACAGACGAGAACCCGAGACACACACCCTCCTTCAGGACAAAGAACAAATAAAGCCCCTTGCACATGGCAGCGAGGCATGAGAGCTCACCATGGAGATGACGGTGGGCGGCAGCTGCTTCGGGTCCCCGACCAGGATCAGCTTGTTGCAGCGATGGATGAGCGGCGTGAGGGTCTCCACTTCACAGGACTGCCCAGCCTGGCGGGGGAGGGGAGAGCATGGGGGGGTTCTTCAGTACCCTGCCCGTTAACTCGGCCGCATGGGTCTGTTTCACTCATTCAAGTTCTGATCAGACAGCAAAGCATCACAACTCTCCTTCTGCACCAAGTGTCAGTAAAGCAGAACAAGAACACCACAACCTCCTCCACTCGTGTAGGCACACACCAAATAGCGTGGAGTCAGCCAGCATGAGTGCCGCCGCCCGGGAGCCGCCCGGAGGCTCCTCCTGTCGCGGTCCCTCCTCCGCGCCCTGGTCTGTGCTCGCTTCCCCAGCTCCTGGCCCCGCACCAGGCCTCAAGACTCAGGAGTGGCTTCAGCTCTACATTTCCCCCATGAGGTCATCACTTCCGCTGCTTCTGTTCTTTCAGGCGAGTGGACAGGTATTTCTTTTCAATTACTTTTGAGTTTTTTAAATTACCACATGGTTGCACACATTTATAGCGTATAAATACTGGAACCCGGACCTCCTGGGTTTCACTTGTCTTCTGCTCTAAATTCTAGCACAGGCAGGGGCCAGTAAGGCTTCCTTGGTGCTGGAGCCAGCAGGAGAGGATGCTCCCTGGCAGCACCGTGGCGCAGGACACTGCCTCCGGGGGGGGGGGGGGGGGGGCACCGCCGAGGGCCTGCGTTGGCGTCTCGGCTCCACCCCACGCCAGCTTCCTGCTGAGCAGCACCATCCGAGGCAGCAGGGGATGGCTCCGGTACTCGGGTGACAGACACCTGGACTGAGTTCCCGGCTCCTGGCTCTGGCCCAGCCCAGCCCATGGCAGGCATCTGGGGAGTGATCCGTGGACTGGAAGACACTGAGTTCTCATCTCTCTCTGTCTCCCTCTCTCTAATCAAAACAAACACAGAACTGCCTCAAAGGGAACCAGAGATATTCCTCAGAGAAGCAGGAACCATTCAGCAGGGATTCTGTCACAAGCAATCAGGTATCATTCAGACTAGAGTCCCAGCACTGCAAAAGCAACTTTAGGGCCGGCGCCGCGGCTCACTAGGCTAATCCTCCGCCTAGCGGCGCCGGCACACCAGGTTCTAGTCCCGGTCGGGGCGCCGGATTCTGTCCCGGTTGCCCCTCTTCCAGGCCAGCCCTCTGCTGTGGCCAGGGAGTGCAGTGGAGGATGGCCCAAGTACTTGGGCCCTGCACCCCATGGGAGACCAGGAAAGGCACCTGGCTCCTGGCTCCTGGCATCGGATCAGCGCGGTGCGCCGGCCGCAGCGCGCCGGCCGCGGCGGCCATTGGAGGGTGAACCAACGGCAAAAGGAAGACCTTTCTCTCTGTCTGTCTCTCTCACTGTCCACTCTGCCTGTCAAAAAAAAAAAAAAAAAAAAAAAAAAAAGGGCAACTTTAACAACAGCAGGTCATCAGAAGCATATTTCTTTCTCTTTTTTTAAAAAAAATTTATTTGGAAGACAGAGTTACAGAGAGAGCAAAGACAGAGAGGTCTTCCATCTGCTGGTTCACTCCCTAGATGGCCGCAAATGCTGGAGCTGCACCAATCCAAAGCCAGGAGCCAGGAGCCTCTTCCTGGTCTCCCATGCAGGTGCAGGGGCCCAAGGACTTGGGCCATCTTCCACTGCTTCCCCAGGCCATAGCAGAGAGCTGGATCAAAGAGGAGCAGTCAGGACTAGAACTGGCACCCATATGGGATGCCGGTGCTTCAGGCCAGGGCGTTAACCGGCTGTGCCACAGCGCCGGCCCCCCAGAAGTGTATTTCAACCCAAGAACACACACGGCGTGCCATGGAAAGATCAGGTGTGCGAAACCATTGCTCTCAGCACCTCAGCAGCCGCGTTCCCACTCACTGACCTCATCGACAATGACACAGCTGAAGGGCACCCCACCCTGGCCACGGAAAGCCGACTCCAGCAGCAGGCCACCGCTGGTGCTCAGTGTGCAGCAGATGACGTGCGACTCCAAGATGATGATGTTCTGTGTTTTCTGGGGGCGCCCTTGAACCTACAAGAACAAACAAAACACATTTTCACTTGCACATGAATTCCCGACAGCCACATGCACCACGTGATGCACAAATGTGTTGGTGAGAGGCGGAAACTCCAATCAGGAAGCCGGCTCAGGCTTTCAGGACAATCAGTAACCAGCAAATACTGTGCTTTGCAGTCTAAGAACACAATGTAAGTACAATAAACAATTATTTAGGTTTCAATTTTGTTAAAGTAGATTAACAGTCTTTTTGTAGAAGGATATATACACAGCAAGGTATCTGAATGAAAATAATTTTCAGTTGTGAAGTGATTATGAGTAAAAACAGGGTCTGAACTATGCTCAAATGCATACCTTTGTCATTTTTAAGTATATTTTGTGATTTTTTTTATAAAGCTAGTACCAACAAAAACGCCTGTGAATCTGATAAGCTTTTCTATCTCCAGTGTTAACAGTCTGTTTGGCTCCCCATAGTCTACTGCAGTTGTTTAAGCCCCAAAGAGTAATGCTGATGGTTAACAGATTTTTAAAAAATATTTATTTATTTAAAAGTCAGAGTTACACAGAGAGAGAAGGAGAGGCGGGGGTGGGGTGGGGTGGGGACGGTCCTTCCATCCACTGGTTCACTCCCCAGTTGGCTGCAATGGCCGGAGATGCGCTAATCCAAAGCCAGGAGCCAGGAGCTTCTTCCAGGTCTCCCATGTGGGTGCAGGGGCCAAAGGACCTGGACCATCTTCTACTGCTTTCCCAGGCCACAGCAGAGAGCTGGATCGGAAGAGAACAGCCAGGACTGGAACCAATGCCCACATGGGATGCTGGCACTGCAGGTGCTGGCCCCGGTCAACAGACTGATGTTAGCGACTTGTGCAGTGCAGACTTGATCTGATTATGACATCTGGAGGGTGGGGCTGGAGGGAGGTCTTTTAAAAGGCAGAGACACAGGAGAGAGAAAGAGAGACAGCAAGAGCAGGCTTCCACCCACTCCACTCCCCAGATGCCCACAATGGCCTCCGGCTGGGGCCAAAGCCAGAGCCAGGATCAATCCAGGTCTCCCACATAGGTGGCAGGAACTCAACCATCTGAGCCATTACTGCTGCCCTCCAGGGTGCGCATTAGCAGGGAACTGGAGTCAGGAGCAGAGCTGGGTGCAGGAGCCAGGCTCTGTGATACGGGAACAGGCGTCCTCACCCCCAGCGGGAGCCTTTGGGTCACTGGGGCATGCCCTTGGAGGTGGCTCTCCTGAAGGGCTGGTAACATAAGGCCACGTCTGGCACAGCTCTTCTGCCTGCGTCCCGGCTCACCATGTTATCACCCTGCCACCCTCTGGCCTCCCAAATTCCTGACCAAGGGGCCACCTGACTGTAGGCTTAGGAACCCCCAGAACTGTAAGCTGAGTGAATTTTCTTTCTGAAAAGCCCCTCTCAGGTATCTGAGTTAAAGTTCTGAAAAGCCGACAGATACAATAAGAAAAGTCAACTTTAAAAAAAAAAAACTTATTTATTTTTAAGGCAGAGCTACAGAGAGGGAGAGAAGGAGAGACAGAGAGATTTTCCATCAGCTGATTCATTCCCCAAATGGCCGCAATGGCTGGAGATGGGCTGATCTGGAGCCAGGAGCCAGGAGCCTCCTCTGGGTCTCCCACATGGGTGGAGGGCCCACGCACTTGGGCCATCCTCTACTGCTTTCCCAGGTCAGAACAGAGAGCTGGATCGGAGGAGGAGCAGCCGGGACTAGAACCGGTGTTCACATGGGATGCTGGTGCTGCAGGCAGCGGCTTAGCCCACTACCCCCCAGCGCCAGCCCTGAAAAAGGAACTTCTATAACGTGACAGTGGTGGAACCCAATGTGAGTGACACCACACAACGTCTACACTGCCACAGTGCTCCAATTAACGAATGAACTGCTCCTCTTCTCAAAGACTCAGTTTCCCTATTCTGCTACGAAGATGCACCAGACTCCTCTCCGCACAGATCAGCTCAACCCAGGACTTGACGGCATGTGGCTGAGGTCTGGGAGCCAGGTGGCAACCGTGATCCTCCCTTGCCCGCAGGTCAAAGGTCAAAGCCACTCGGTCAGGGCTCTGCCCCCAGCCGCGAGCCGTGATGCATTCACGGCCCTGAGTGGCAGGAAGCGCAGCACCCACGAATGTGGACCTCCCCTCCGAATCTGGGAAGATTCACTCTGAGCTCAGCTTAATATTTCAATAAAAAGTTTCACAAATTTTATATGCAAACCAACAGCTAATGGAAATATGCATTAAACTGATTTAACTACACTTATTCAGCCACCTACAGCAGATGAGTAATAAATGAAAAGAAACACCTTGATTCAAAAGCACTAGGAACCAGGCCGGCGCCGCGGCTCACTAGGCTAATCCTCCGCCTAGCGGCGCCGGCACACCAGGTTCTAGTCCCGGTCGGGGCGCCGGATTCTGTCCCGGTTGCCCCTCTTCCAGGCCAGCTCTCTGCTGTGGCCAGGGAGTGCAGTGGAGGATGGCCCAAGTGCTTGGGCCCTGCACCCCATGGGAGACCAGGAAAAGCACCTGGCTCCTGGCTCCTGCCATTGGATCAGTGCGGTGCGCCGGCCGCGGCAGCGATTGGAGGGTGAACCAACGGCAAAGGAAGACCTTTCTCTCTGTCTCTCTCTCTCACTGTCCACTCTGCCTGTCAAAAAAAAAAAAAAAAAAAAAAGCACTAGGAACCGAGCTGGTGATCACCGGCCTCACGCCTGATCTGACGGAGGCTGTGGCCTAACACCTGAGCCTCACCCACTCCGACCCCGACTGACTGGGACCTGCACACCCGTGGGACAGCGGGGATGCTGTAGGGACCTGCACACCCGCGGGATAGCGGGGACGCTGTAGGGACCTGCACACCCGCGGGACAGCGGGGACGCTGTAGACAGCTCTCACAGTTCTGCATTCATGGATTCAACCAACTACTCATTGAAGATACTCGGGGGGAAAAAACCACCATCTGCACTGACCACAGAGAGACTCTCTTCTTGTCATTACAGCCTGAAAGACACACACACAAACTATCCATGTGGCACTCACACTGTACGCAGTATTAAAAGTACTCTGAGGGGGCAGCACTGAGGTGTAGCAGGTGAGGCCATTGCTCACAGCGCCACCATCCCATATGGGCGCTGGTTCTAGTCCCAGCTGCTGCACTTCCTATCCAGCTCTCTGCTGTGGCCTGGGATAGCAGTGGAGGATGGCCCAAGGCCTTGGGCCCCCGCACCCACGTGGGAGACCCGGAAGAAGCTCGGTTTGGGATAGGAGCAGCTCTGGCCATTGTGGCCAACTGGAGAGTGAACCAGCAGATGGAAGAGACCTCTGTTTTTTAGCGGGTGAGAGAGGAAACAGCTCCTGTGAGATGGTTTTCCTACTACCCCCCCAGACCTAAAATAGGAAAAGATAACTCATGATCACGTCTTAGATAGCCAAGATGGTGACAAGAATCCATTCTCGGCCCAGGCTGTGGCGCCGTGGGTTCAACCACGTGCAGTGCCGGCATCCCATGCGGGCACGAGTTCAAGTTCTGGCTGCTCTACTTCCAAGCCAGCTCTGTGCTGATGTGCCTGGAAAAGTAGCGGAAGAGGGCCCAAGTCCTTCAGTCCCTGCCACCCACGTGGGAGACCTGGAGGATGTTCCTGGCTCCTGGCTTTGTCTAGCCCTGACTGATGCGGCCAGCTGACAAGAGAACCAGCAGATGGAAGATCTCTCTCTCAGTCTCCGTCTCTCCTTCTCTCTCTGTAACTCTGGCTTTAAAATAAAATAAATCTTTTTTAAAAAAATTCTTACATTAAAGCAAAAAAAAAAAGTAATTATTCTACCATTTTCTCTACTTGCATAGTTATATCTAATTTTTCATAATATAGCTGGACAAAAGCCATGGATTGTCTGAATTATTTCATAATTGAATTTTTAAAAGAAAATAAAAATCAGGGGCTAGGGTGGGGTGAAGTGGTAAAGTTGGTGCCAGCTGCTCCCCAGCTCCCTGCTAATGTCCTGGGAGAACAGCTCAAGATGGCCCCAGTGCTTGCAGCCCTGCACCCACACAGGAGACCTGAAAGAAGCTCCTGGCTGTGCCTGGCGGAGCCCTGGCCGTCGCAGCCACTTGGGGACTGAACCAGCAGATGGAAGCTCTCTCTCTCTCTCCCTCTCTCTCTGTAACTGACTTCCAAATAAATCAAATAAATCCTTTTTTTTAAACCGCTGTGGCGGAATAGGTTAAGCTTCCACCTGCAGTGCCAGCATCCTGTATGGGTGCCGGCTGGAGTCCCTGCTGCTCCACTTCTAATCCAGCTCCCTGCTAACAGCCTGGGAGAGCAGTAGAAGATGGCCAAGTGTTTGGGCCCCTGCACCCACGTGGGAGACCCAGAAGAAGCTCCTGGCTCCTGGTTTTAGATCAGGCCAGCTCTGGCCATTGCATCCACTTGGGGAGTGAACCAGTGGATGGGAGAGCTGTCTGTAATTCTGCCAATCAGATAAATAACTAAATAAAAAAAAAAAAGGGAATAAAAAGTTAGACTGAGCCTTGCTGGCAGAACTTGTGCCTGGCCCTCAAGTAGAACCAGATGAGAGCAATGCTGCCTCCCAAGACTCCCTGGTTGAGGGAGGGACTTCTACACTTGAACTACTGCATCCAGAACACCCAATCGCAGCCCCCACAGTACATTTCATGACCAGCATTTGTCCCCTGATGTAGACAAGCTGGGAAGAGCACATTTAGGTGTTTCGGGAGGTAAATGGTCCCCAGAGCCATGGACCCGCACAGTTCTGTTGTGGAGCCAACCTCTGTTAGGCTCCATTAGCAAATGATGCAGCAGAACACCGGAAGACCATTCAAGCCCAAGCCACAGACTCCACCGACCAGGCTGTGAGCTAGAACATTTAAATCAACCTCATCATCAACTATCAAGTATGCGTCGCTCTGTCAACTTTTTTTTTTTTTTTTTGCATTTAATGGACAGAGTCTTAGCAACACCACAGAAGGAAAGCCCACCGTGAATGAAGGTGGCTGCCAGTCAGCTGCGGGAGTGGGTGTATTTTACTTTCATGGGATCCTGCCCCCTTGCGTAGTGATCTGACCGGTACTGGCTGAAAGCAGATAGGCAGTTCTTTAGGATGCACTCCTGGCCTGGTCTGTCTGTCTTCACACTCTGCAGATGGACAAGCTGAATGGTTTGAAGCAAAGTGGGATTAAAAAAAAAAACAACTCCCACCCTCACTCAGACCGCTGCGCCTCTGCTGTCAACTGTGGATTGTTACCCCATTTTGCATGGCTTGTCTGGGAACTTCCAAAATCTCGTTTTAGTGGAATACTTTTGTTATTCTAAAAAGAGAATTAAGAAAGAAAAATTCAAGAGAATCCTACAAGTGAACTACTCACCTCTTTGATTTTAGAAGCAAGCTCCTGCCTTTCCTTTGAAATGCTGACAATTTCTCGATCCAACTCCTGCCTCTGGAAGGAACCAGAACGCGCCATTAGAAGTAAGCTGAGTACCGGGAAATGCTTCCCAGTACACTGAGCCTGCTCCCTCCCTGCCATGTGCCCCTGACACTCTCCGCACGTCTGCGTCGTAACACCCACTTCTGCCGCGCGAACTGCGCTCTGCGCTGCTTTTCTACTTGGCCTTCCAACCCCTGCAGCACCGCGCCTCCGCTGATTGACAGGTGGTTCAAACGAGTGGTCGCTCACACCCCAGCCATAACTCTGGCCACCGTGGGGAGCACACCACTCAGGCCTGCCTATCAAATCATGAACCACTCCTTAAAGACGTGGATTAGGCCTGCCTGCCCACCCCGGAACTAATCAGAGTCCTTGCTGGGAAGTGATGCAGGGATGCTGGGAAGAGGCCTTCTCTGGGGTCTCCAACCTGGGACGGTGGAGCCCAGGAGTGCTGGCATTTGTCTCTGGAGAAGAAAGGGCTGACACACAAATTCAGGGTTGGTGGGAAAATGCTATCAGGCAAGTGTCTGGACCCAGTCACGCCAGAGGCGATCCACTCACGGATTCCCCAGGTAGGAATCAGGGAATCCCCTGTTTAAACTAACTGGAACTGGGTTTAACTTGTAATTGAAAGATACTTACTAAATTCGGTGTAGTTTTAACGTATGGGCCAAATGTAATACACCATCTGCTTTTGTAAATAAAGTTTTATTGGAACACAGCCACATCCATTTGTCTATATATTACTGATGGCTGCTCGCAGGCCACAGCAGAGCCACCCATATGGTCTTGGAATGCCTAAGACATTTACTACTCTGCCCTTCCCAAAAAGAAAAATGCTAATCCCTCCCGTAAGGCTGCCCCTTTAGTGCCCACCGTCCCATCAAAGCATCACATCCAATGCTCAGCGGCTGGCTTTGCGCCCACACGAGCTCTGAAGTTCTTATTTGCAGAATACTCACGGAGAAACGTTAGGATACCTGCATCTCCCGTCCTCCCCGGCACAAGGCTCGCTGGCGGGAAAGTTCATCTAGCTGACGGTCCAGGATCTCTTTTCTTCTATGCATCTCCTGAACATGAGAAGGCAAGTCTTTCTCTAATAAAAATAAAAATTTAAAAATTGCATGCAAATTCCAACAAACACACCTGCAAACTCAGCATGAAGCAAAACTAGTCCCCAGAACTGGAGTATTTCTAGGGTCTCCAAACTGCCCGCGGTGTCCATCTCACGTTTACCCCACAAAAACAAACAGCAAACACGACCGTGACGCATTCGGTACTTACTCATCCTGTGGTTAACTTGGCTGTCCAAACTGAACCTCAGGACCTCATTATTAATGGACTTCTCAGGACCCAGTCTCACTAAATTTATATCTCCACAGTTTCCTGTTGATAAAAACCACACGTAAAGACTGTAAGGACACTGCCAGTAAGCCTTGTCTCTCTCCAGAATGCCCACTCCTAAGCACTACATTACCCATCAGAAAGGGGCTGCACAGACCGGCTGCCTGGGCCACACAGAGCTTCCCACCCGTCATCTCAAACACTCTTCCTAGACACTGCAGCAAGCGCCATCACTTCTACCTGTACAGCACAGAGCACACTGGAGATTCTACTGTACTTCTGTTCCAAAGGACTGATTTACTTGTTTGTTTGAAAGCCAGATAGACAGGGAAAGACAGAGAGAGATCTTCTATTCGCTGGTTCAACTCTCCAAATGCCTGCGACAGCCAGGCTGAAGCCAGGAGCCAGGAGCTGCCCCGGGTCTCCCACAGAGGCGGCAGGAAGCCAAGTGCTTGGATCACCGTGCACTGCCTCCCAGGTGCATCAGCAGGAAGCCAGATGGAAGTGGAGGGCCAGGGTGGGAGCCATCACTCCGACACATAATGCGGGTGTCTAAGTGGTGGCCTAACCCTCAGCATCCACCCCAAAACTGCTTTACCTTACCGTTTCCCAAATCTGTTTTGCCATGGTGTTCTGTGGGAAACAGAACGAGGAGTGTTCATATACTAGGGCAGGCGCTGTGGCACAGGGAGGCGCCCACATCCCTGCTGCAGTAATGGGAGCCCCAGCTCCTCCACTTCCAATCCAGCTTCCTCCTAGAACCCTGGGAAGGCAGCAGGTGACGGCTCCCGTGCCTGTGGCCTGCTGCCGACATGGGAGACCCAGATGGAGCTCCTGGCTCCTGGCCTCAGCGTGGCCCAGCCTGGCTGTGAAGGCATCTGTGAGCACAGAGACAGAAGTTCTCTCTCCGCCTTTCACATAAAATGAAAATAAACTTAAAAAAACAATAAAAGTACTTTTCTTAGCCATGGACTATTCAAAGGACTTTTACATATTAATACATATTTGAATTTCCAAAAGAGAATCTGATTTGGCCATCAACTCCTCAGCAGGGCACTCAAAGTAAGTGCCCACGCTCCACACCACACGGGTGCTCCAGAATCTAAGGCACACAAGACGACCAGGACTCTGGGGGCAACAGTTCCTAGAATTCAACCATCGCTTCAGCTCTTTCAGTAACCATTTTCCTTTCAGGTTCCCACGCCAGCATTTCATCTCAAAGTTTTCCGCTGCATCATTAGGCTAACTTACAGCAACGGTGCCAAGTTTTATCAGCACTTACCCATCCTGCCCGTCTCTCTCCTTCCACCCAATATTGAGTCCCCTAAGAACAAGGCTTTGTTCTGGACACTGCCTGGGGCAGTGGCCGGCACGTGGCAAGTTGCGTAGGCACGGGCTGAATGCGGAGGAGCGACTTCTCTCCACAGCTGTCTGCAGCCCAGTGTGGACCCACTTCAGCCATTCTCCTGAACCAGGAGAACCGGGGCCATCGTCTCCAACCAACATCTACTTCAGGGTTTCAAGACTGCTTAACCCACTTGTTTCCACCAGAAAAGTAGATGCGATGACCAGGCACTCACCAAGGAACCCTCCCTCAACTCTGACGGCATCCTTTACCTGGAGGGTGAGCTCGTGGGAACGGAAGAGAAATTCCTAGGGGCCGGAACGGCAGGCTGGGAACTAGGCCCGAGAGCCCCGGAGCGGCCAGAGTGTGGGGGCAGCGCTGCACGCATCCAGGCACTCAGGTGTATGCTGTTCTTTCAATCAGCACTACTGAGGTATAATTACACTCAGCAAAATGCAGAAATTCAAAAATATTTCATTTGGGGCCAGCGTTGTGGGAAGCAGTGAAGCCACTGCCTGCAGCGCCAGCACCCCACGTGAGTGTTGGTTCAAGTCCCGGCTGCTCCACTTCTGATCCAGCTCCCTGTTAATGCGTCTGAGCAGGCAGCAGAGGATGGCCCGAGTGCTTGGGCCCTGCACCCATGTGGGAGACCTGAAGGAAGCGCCTGGCTCCTGGTTTCAAAGTCTGGTCCATGTGAGGAGTGAACTAGCACATGGAAGCTATCTCTGTCTCTCCCTCTAACCCTTTCAAATAAATAAACATTTTTAAAAATATTAAAAACCTGTAATTTTATGAGTTTTAGCACATGTATATTGGCAAAACTATCATTTCAATAACATGGAAATTCCCATTCTGAGGTCTTCAATTTTCACGTCCACTAGGAAGCACAGGGTGCTGGCAGGATCCGGAAGCATCACCTATCCCGGCCTGAGCTCCCCGGGACTTTCCACCAACAGCACAGCGCCCCAGGCAACTTTCGGGAATAAACGCACGGGACAGGGAAGAGTGGGACCCAACCACACATACGGGTGGAGGTTTTTTTCTCTTTTCAACAAGGGAGAAATTGCATTTTTTTAAAAAAAGGATTTTATTTATTTATTTGAGAGGCAGAGAGGGAGGTCTTTTACCCTCTGGTTTACTCCCCAGATGGCTGCAAAGCCCAGAGCTGAGCTGATCAGAAGCCAGGAGCTTTGTGCAGGGACCCAAGCACTTGGGCCACCTTCCACTCCCTTCCCAGGCTATCAGCTGAGAGCTGGATCAGAACGGGAGCAGCTGGGACGTGAGCTGGAGCCCATATGGGATTCTGGCACTGCAGGCAGAGGCTTAGTCTACCACACCACAGCGCCAGTCTCTAGGTTGAGGTTTTTAACGAGACTAACAAGAACAACTTTATGCCAATATGTAATGAAAAAACATAAGGCAAACTAGAAAATTACCTTGAAAATTTTGTATTCCCAATACTGTCTCAACACTAGAAAACTCAAACAGGTTTAAAGCCATTAAAGAACTTTACACGTGGGGCCAGCGCTGTGGCTCAGTGGGTTGACACCCTGGCCTGAAGCGCCGGCATCTCATATGGGCACCGGTTCGAGTCCCAGCTGCTCCTCTTCCGATCCAGCTCTGGGAGACCTCTCTCTCTCTCTCTCTGCCTCTCCTCTCTCTGTGTAACTCTTTCAAATAAATAAATCTTAAAAAAAAAAAAAAACAAACAAACTTTACACAGTAGATAAAAACTTACTGATTCTGTTTAAAAAAAAGAAATTTAAAATATAAAATACTAATAACAAATGAATCTTCAAAGAACAGATAAGCTTACACAAGATATTCAAATCATTTTCAAAGTCTGTGTAACTGGGGCTGGCGCTGTGGCACAGCGGGTTAAAGCCCCAGCCTGCAGTGCCGGCATCCCATATGGGCACCGGCTTGAGTCCCGGCTGCTCCATTTCCGATCCAGCTCTCTGATGTGGCCTGGGAAAGCAGTAGAGGATGGCCCAAATCGTTGGGTCCCTGTACCCACGTGGGAGACCTGGGGGAAACTCCTGGTTCATAGCTTAGGATTGGCGCAGCTCCAGCCATTGCAGCCAATTGGGGAGTGAACTAGCAGATGGAAGATCTCTCTGTCTCTATGACTCTCTCTAACTCTTTCAAACAAATAAGTCTTTTTAAGAAATTTTTAAGAATTTTAAAAAATAAAGTCTGTGTAACTTTAATACTAAAACTAGACAAAGATCATGTAACAAGGAAGAATCATAAGCTGATGTAAAAACACTAATTCATATTAACAGATTAAAGAAAACCTTAATTATCATTTCAACAAATGCAAGAAAGATACATGCAATTAAATTCAATACTCTTACGAGAAAAACCCAGAAGCCTTTCAGCAAAGGCACACACACAAACCCGGAAACAAACAGGACACTCGGTGGAGGCATCTGCAGCACTGCCTTAAAGGACACCCAAGACCACAGGAAGCATTGAAAAAAAAGTGAAAATAAAAATACTGAAAAAAGGAAAAGTACTCTCTTAAAAAAAAGTTTATTTTATTTATTTATTCCCATATACTTGAAAGGCACAGCAAGAGAGTAAGAGATCACCAGGCCAAAGCCAGGAGCCCAGATCTCCGTCCGGGTCTCCCACGAGTGGCAGGGGAAGCGGAATCAGCCGTGCAGCAGCCAGGCCACCAACGGCACTCAGATACGGGATGCAGGCTCATCCCGCTGCACTACAACACCTGCCAAGAGAAAGTTCTCTTTACCCTCAGACTTTGCCAACTGGAAAAAAAAAACGATGGCACTACCTAAAAAACTGAAAATATATACCAATCCTCCAAACCCTACGTTTTCCCTTCTAGATTGACACATGCTGGAGGTCAGCGTTTTCGTACTAGCAAGTTTGAACTACACATACAGCATGATGCACACGTCGAGGCCCAGGGTACTCAGAACCCTGACCTACATATGGTGCACATGTCAGAGGCCCAGGGTACTCGGAACCCTGAACTACATATGGTGCACACGTCGAGGCCCAGGGTACTCGGAACCCTGACCTACATATGGTGCACATGTCAGGGGCCCAGGGTACTCGGAACCCTGAACTACATATGGTGCACATGTCGAGGCCCAGGGTACTCGGAACCCTGAACTACATATGGTGCACATGTCGAGGCCCAGGGTACTCATGCAAACCTCCCAACCGAACCAAGTGCACAAAAGCAATCAGTCTAACTACAGTCTCATCTCTAGCTTTCTTCTATTCTCATTTTTTGAAGTATGCACATTCTGATCTCCCAAAACGGATTTTAAAATCCACAAACTGTCACAACCCACAATTTGTAAGGCACTGCCTTAGAAAGCTGTGTTATACACAGGGGGCTATTATATAGTATTACATAATGGCAGTTCACATTTTCATATCTATACTAGAGAAGGACATACAAGTACAAGAATATTCATACAAGTACAAGAATATTCATGATACTAAAATCTGAAATAAAAATCACAGAAATCTAAACTTCTATCAGTGGACATGAATAAACTGTGCACTCACACAACAAAAATCCCACAGCCGGGGCCGCTGCTGTACTGATCCACTTCCGAACCAGGTCCCTGCCTGGGAGGCAGCTGACAACAGCCCGAGTGTCTGGGCCCTGCACCCACACTGGAGACCAGATGACGCTCCTGGCTCCCACTTCGGCCTGGCCCAGCCCTGGCTGCTGCAGCCATTTGGGGAGTGAACCAGCAGATGGAAGATCTGTCTCTGCCTCTTCCTCTCTCTGTGTAACTCTTTCAAATAAGTAAATAAACCATAAGAAAAAAAAAAAGCCCACATTAGTTTGTGTCTGACCATAGCTACACAAAAAAACAAACATTACAAGCACAATGGCAAGTGGAAAAAGCTGCAACGTACTCTCAAGTTTTAAGAGCAAATGGACTCAGCCGGCACCGTGGCTCACTAGGCTAATCCCCCACCTAGCAGCGCCAGCACACCGGGTTCTAGTCCCAGTCCGGGCGCCGGATTCTGTCCTGGTTGCCCCTCTTCCAGGCCAGCTCTCTGCCACGGCCTGGGAAGGCAGTGGAGGATGGCCCAAGTGCTTGGGCCCTGCACCCGCATGGGAGACCAGGAAAAGCACCTGGCTCTGAACTTCGGATCAGTGTGGTGCGCCGGCCGTGGCGGCCATTGGAGGGTGAACCAACAGCAAAAGGAAGACCTTTCTCTCTGTCTCTCTCTCTCACTGTCCACTGTCAAAAAAAAAAAAAAAAAGGCAAATGGACTCTACATGTAGTAAAGGAAAAACATGTGTGATCCCTGAGGATAAAGATAACACATCCCAGGGCAGCGCTGTGGCAGAGTGGGCTAAGCCTCCGCCTGCAGTGCCAGCATCCCATGTGGGTGCTGGTTTGAGTCCCAGCTGTTCCACTTCTGATCCAGCTCTCTGCTATGTCCCGGGAAAGCAGCAGAAGGTGGCCCTAGTGCTTGGGCCCCTGCACCTATGTGGGAGACCTGGAAAAAGCTCCTGAGTCCCAGCTTTGGCCTCGCTTAGCCTTGGCCACTGTGGCCATTTGGAGAGTGAACCAGTGGATGGAAGACCTGTCTCTCCTCTCTCTGTTTGTAACTACCTTTCAAATAAATAAAATCTTAAAGGGAGAGGGAGAGAGAGAGAGAGAGAGAGAGACAGAGAGAGAGAGAGAGAGAGACACATCCCAGATTGATTTGTAACTGGGTATGGTCACTGAGTTCGGCCAACCAGAAATAAGCGGAGGAGCTCCCGGGCAGCATCTGCGAATACTCCTGAAAACACGGCCAGTGTATTCCCCTTGCCCCCGCTTTGTCTCTTCCTTGTGCTTGGTGAATGTGATGACTGGAGCTGCAGCGGCTGTCCCTGACCCAGGGGGTGCATTAAAGAAAACAGAGGTCATGGGGTCGGCACTGTGGTGTACTGGGTAAAGCCGCTGCCTGCAGTGCCAGCATCCCATGTGGGCGCTGGTTCTAGTCCCAGCTGCTCCACTTCCAATCCAGCTCTCTGCTGTGGCCTGGGAAAGCAGTAGAAGATGGCCCAAGTCCTTGGGCCCCTGCACCCACATGGGAGACCTGGAGGAAGCTCCTGGCTTCAAATGGGCACAGCTCCAGCCAGTGTGGCCAATTGGGGAGTGAGCCAGGGGATGGAAAACCTCTCTCTCTCTGCCTTTCCTTCTCTCTCTGTTTAACTCTTTCAAATAAGTAATAAAATAAATCTTAGGAAAAAAGAAAGCATGCATCATACCCAAAGGATTCTTCTTGTCTTTACATTTTTCCTTGAACTCGAGGATTATCTTCTTCATAAGCTCATCAACAGCTGCATTGGAAGGCGCGCACACAAGGACGCGGTTCTGCTTGATTTTGGCATTGAAATTTTCACCTGAGTGTCCCTTCTTCTGGTTCTACAATTTGCCACACACACAGAAACACCGATGAGCTCCATCACAGGACTGTAAGGCTGTCCTCTATTTCCAGGTTGTTCAAAAGTTCCCATAAACAACTAAAGTTAATAAAATCGTCTACCTCTCACATCGACGTGAAAGTGAATCTGGCATGACATTCTACGACTGCTGAGCTTCACTTCACCACCTGCTTACTCAGCCAGCACTCAGCAAGCAAATGGCAGCCCGGGAGCACAGGATGGGTTCTCGGGACTGCGTGCAGCCCACAGTGAGTCCAGGACCACCCTTCCAGCCCGGAGGGTCTGCTGCACGCAAGACGTGTTTGCTGTCCTCTTAGCTCCACACAGCCCCCTTCCTCTTGTGCCACCCCTTTCTCCAGTAACAGTTACACACAGCAAGTGTGAACAGGAGAAGCACTTTAACACTTGCACACCAATTAAGTCAAGGAAGACAGCGCTGCTTAACAGCACCCAGCCCCTCACGCACACCTACCTCCGTCAGCAAGCAGTACAGGAGGCCAACGATAGTTTTTGATTTTCCTGTTCCAGGTGGTCCATGAATCAGACAGATTTTGGCAACTGACGGTGAGTGTTTTACCATGCTGTAAGCAGTTTCTATTGCTTTCTTTTGGTCTTCATTGAAATCTCTCAAGTGAGCAAACTATATCAAAATAATTTTTGACAATGAGGCGTTGTTGCAGTGACACGACAAGAGAAGACAACGAAACACATTCATCTGCATTTCTTGCAGCCTGTGTCACGGACACAAGGTGTGGTTAATGCGAGCGGGCAACACCCTCCAAGATCTTTACTCCAAGAACAACCTTCACTACTGCAAAGAAGGCTAGTTATTAGCCAGCTTCAATTACTTACAAATGGCTGGCTACAGCCTGCTTACAAATCCTCCTATTTTGGTTTGTGATTCTTACAAAGATAATTACAAATAAATCACATTAATCTCTTCTTTATTCTTTTTTTCATTTTGGTCAATTCCCACCTTAGACAGTACAAGTATCCTAGGATCACGTCTTTCCTAACACAGTGTGAGACTGTGAAGAAGATGTGGGCCCCAGGGTCAGGTCTGAGAACCCCAGTTTCCCTTACAAGCTGGGTCCCCAAACTCCTAACCTCTCCCAGCTTTAGAGTCACTCACGGTACTTGGGATTCCGTAAAAGGTGAGAACTGGCTGAAATACTGCACTCCACAGCGCTCGCACAGTCAAGGCTCAAATGTTTCCTTCTGCTGCTCACTGTGTTAACTTCCTAGCACGCATACCTCTCTCTGCTGAAAAATCTATGTCCACACACGATGAAAACCGCATCTTTCCCAACAGCATTCACACCATCAGTCAACTCAACTCTGTATCCCTCCTGAACGCAGATCCACTACTGAACGTTCAATGGATGCTGAGCTAACGTTTCAAAGGTGCTCTTCCAGTGTGACTTCAAGCATTGACTGTACTGTCCTTTGTCCTGCAAGCTGATAATCTAATTATACACTTTGCAAAACTACAGTACACGTACACTGAACACCACCACGCACGCGCTGATGTGAACACGTCTGTGCTGCAGTACACCGCAGCTACAAGTATAAACTTCAACAGCCCGACACAGAGACTGCTGACTTTTTCTCACGTCATATGATCTCCACTCACAATTCTCTCCGATGATGTAGTCAGCCCGTCTTTTGCACAAAAGTTCATGGGCTCTGGATTCAGAACAGCTCTGGCCAGTTGGTTCCCACCACTCAACAGAGACATAGCTTTCAACTTCCTTTGTGTAGTTACAAGAGAACTGATGACAACACATCTCACAAGGTCATTCAAGTTGGCTGGCAAATTCTCCTGAGTCTGGATGGAAAGGGAACACTCAGCTTTCCCATTACGCACTGTCACCAAGGAGAAAAAGCAGGTTCAGTTACCAGGGAACAATGTCGTCCAGTTCCAAAAGTTCTTCACTTAATCTTATCCCTTGCTTTTTGTATGATGCATGATTTAAATAATTCATACAGTAAATATTTACTGAATGTTTCCTGACAGCCAGGCACATCTGTCCTCCAGAGATTTGATTTTCTAGATGATGGAGGCAGATGACCATATGTATCAGGTGGTGGTAAGTGCTGGGAAGAAAGCAGACACACAGAGCGGGTGCAAAAGTGATACGCGTGCAGGCAGACGGGCTGGCCAGGGCAGGGCTTCCTGATGAGACAATATTTGAGCAGAGACTTGAACGAAGGGGACTAAGTTATGCCTTTATCAGGGAGGAAAGAGTGCTACAGGCAGAGACTCAGCAACCGAAAGGACCATGAGGCAGAGAAGTGCCAGAAGCATTTTAGAAACAGGGAGATGGTGGAGCCGGAACTGTGGCTCAGTGGGTAAAGCTGCCACCTGCACTGCCAGCATCCCATATCGGCGCTGGTTCAGGTCCCGACTGCTCCACTTCAAATCCAGCTCTCGACTATGGCCTGGGGAAACCAGTAGAAGATGGCCCAAGGCCCTGGGTCCCTGCACTTGCATGGGAGACTCAGAAGAATCTCATGGCTCCTGGCTTCCGATCAGCCCAGCTCTGGCTGTTGCAGCCATTTGGGGAGTGAACCAGCGGATGCAAGACTTCTCTCCTTGCCTCTGCCTCTCTGTAACCTTGCCTTTCAAATAAAATAAATAAATCTTTTTAAAAAAAAGAGAGAGAGAGAAATAGGGAGATGATAATGTTGCTGAAGGAAAAGCAGGGAGAGTGAGATCAGAAAATAAAATAGGCTGTAATTCACAGGGCTCTGCAGAGCGCCATCCCGAGTTGGGGGAGCCCCGAGGCTGCTCTGCAGAGCTCAGAACACACGTCAGCTGCAAAGCACAGGAGCAAACAGAGGCCACTGAAGGGACACAGGAGTGGAGACCGGATTTCGCATCTGCTGCAAAAGTCAACAGGATTTGCCGACAGCTTAGATGTAGACCAGGTGGGAAACATCCTACATGGAGAATGAAATCCCTGGGTCTAGCCCTGCCAAGGCGACTACAGGGACTCAAAATTCAGTAAATCCACAGGGGCCAATTCTCAAGTTGATAATTCTGTATGGCCCCTGAATGATGTTATAAATAGCCTTGGCAGAAAAAGGTTCCCAACCCTTTGCGGGGTACGGGAGAGCGCGCGCCATGGATGATCCCAAGGTTTCTGGACTGGGCAGCTGATGAGCGGAGACCTCACTCATGGAGATGGCAAACACTGAGGGAGGAGCAGATGCCACACGGAAAACCAGGTCTTCCGTGTTGGGCCAGCCGGTTTAAAGCGTCTAACAGACCTCAGACGGAGACAGACAGTGCTGACGCACGAGTAGCGCAGAAGATCATCTAGACACACGCGTGTGCAAACGTCATCCACAATGGCCACCATCACAGCTAAGCCAGACGTGCCCGTTGGGAGGCTCCTGCCTGACCACACACCCGGGGCACCCCTGCGCTCGTGAGCCCGGGGCAGGGCTGAGGAGCGTGCTGATCCGTTCAAGGTGTGACGCAGGCGGAGAAAGAACAGTGAGACCGGGTTCTTCATGTAACTGACGAAGTCAAAACCAAGCTGCCGTGAAGCAGAGTGGGCTGGCCAGTCATACAGAAGCAGTGTTACCTTTCAGGCCGACCACTCAACGTGGTGAAGCCTTCAGGAGATCAGTGATGTCCCTGAGCTACAGCTTTCTGAGGAGCGAGCACTCACGCCTACTGCTTCAGGCCTCGGGGAGGATCACAAACCTGCACAGGCAGGACGAGCCACCGACACACAGCAGGGCCTGTGCAGCGCAAGGGAACGGGACTTGGGTGCTGCACTACCTTCAGGAGAGAAGTCTAACACAGTGGGCAGACGTGCAGCAGCAGCGGGCTCCTCAAGCCGCCTTACCCTAAGTTTTATGCTTGGTCTTCTCAGTAGTAATTAGCCGCAAAACACATGAGTTTGCACTTTTTTTTAACAAATGCAATGATAAATGAAGTAGTACACCAAAGAGGACATTTTACAAAAAGCTTCTAAAAGCAATAAAAATGGAGCCTTTTCCATGTGAGTTTAGAAAGCTAGAAAAGGAACTCTGTATGGCAAGCAAGCAACACAGAGAACGCTTATTTGCTAAGTGTACAGCACAGGCAGGGCTGGGAAGGCACAGTTCAGAGGGAAGTAAGATGAGCTTGTATCCAACAAATGTTCAATCACCTACTATTCATTTACTTACTGACTGAAGTGCGACGAAATTTATGAACATAGCCGCAATGATATTCAGAGAGATCCTGCACACGATTTCTCTCTGCATCTCTCTTCTCTCCATTCAGTCGTTCAGGAACCAAAAACACCAAATCATTTTCCTTTGGGTGAAGCTGTTTAGCCAGTTCACATTCCTCTAGATAAACTATGAAACAAGTCAGCATTTATAAAACACTAACAGAATTATTTTAAGTAAGATTAATTTAAGAGAAATTAAACCACTGCACTAAATTCAAAAGTATACAGCCGGCCGGCGCTGCAGCTCACTAGGCTAATCCTCCACCTGCGGCGCCGGTACCCCGGGTTCTAGTCCTGGTTCGGGCACCGGTTCGGTCCCAGTTGCTCCTCTTCCAGTCCAGCTCTCTGCTGTGGTCTGGGAGTGCAGTGGAGGATGGCCCAAGTGCTTGGGCCCTGCACCCCATGGGAGACCAGGAGAAGCACCTGGCTCCTGGCTTCGGATCGGCAGAGCGCCAGCCGTAGCAGCCATTTTGGGGAGTGAACCAACAGCAACTGCATTAGCCAGAATCTGGTGGCCGCAGCCAGACAGGAACCACACCAGGCATTCTGAGGTAGGATGTGAGCAGCTCAACCACTAGGCCAAATGCCCCATTCTGGTTAATCATTTTCATGGGACCAAAGCTGTAGCCTACAGTGGCAGCATCCCATATGGGCACCAGTTCAAGTCCTGGCTGCTCCACTTCCAAGCCAGCTCTCTGCTGTGGCCTGGGGAAGCAATAGAAGATGGCCAAGTGCTTGGGCCCCTGCACCCGCGTGGGAGACCTGGAGGAAGCTCCTGGCTCCGGATCGGTGCAGCTCCGGCTGTTGTGGCCAACTGGGGAATGAACCAGTGGATGGACGACCTCTCTCTCTCTCTCTGCCACTCCTCTGTGTAATTCTGACTTCCAAATAAATAAATAAATGTCTAAAAAAAAAAGAAATCTCAAAAAAAAAGTCTGAAGTTATTACAAAATGAAGTTAATTCTTCCAACTCAAACCCAGCGCCCGAGGGATCTTCACTGCGCCTCCCCACTGTCTCGTCCCCTCTAAAGGACCTTGCTTCCTACCACTATCCGTTCACTACATGCCTGTTCTACCTCACAACACATAAAACAAGAATTACTGAGGCAACAACACATCTCATAAACACATCTCTGCTACTCTAGTTTTCAGAATACATCTAAGGTTATACACTCAGGGTAAGTGAGTTCTAAAAGTACTCCTGTTAGGTTCATGTGTTTCTACTGTATTTCTTGAAAGAGTTAAACAGAGAGAGAAGGAAGACAGGCAGAGTGGACAGTGAGAGAGAGAGAGACAGAGAGAAAGGTCTTCCTTTTTGCTGTTGGTTCACCCTCTAATGGCCGCCGCAGCCGCCGCACCGCGCTGATCCAATGGCAGGAGCCAGGTGCTTTTCCTGGTCTCCCACGGGGTGCAGGGCCCAAGCACCTGGGCCATCCTCCACTGCACTCCTGGGCCACAGCAGAGAGCTGGCCTGGAAGAGGGGCAACTGGGACAGAATCCGGTGCCCTGACCAGGACTAGAACCCAGGGTGCCGGCGCCGCAAGGTGGAGGATTAGCCTAGTGAGCCGCGGTACAAGCCCTTCTATTGTATTTCATTTTAAGGTCTGCATTTATTCATTGTTGATTTAATGGTTCAAATTCATACACTTGTTATAAAGAATGCTGCAGGAGCAGGCCGATTTCCCACCTGGAGTCCGTGTACCCCACTCCCAGCTCTGGCTCCCGACTCCAGTTTTCTGCTAAGGCAGATCCTGGCAGGCGATGGTAACGGCTCAAGGAACTGGGCTCCTGCAACCCACGGGCGAGGCCTGGAGGGAACTCCTGACGTCCAGCTCCCACACGGCCCAGAGCCAGCTGTTGCAGGCACTGAAGGAGTGACTTAGTGGGACTTAGCGAGCTCTCTGGCTCGCCCAATAACTAATTTTTAAAGTACATCCTAGTTCTATCAGTCTTGTCTTTGTGTATCATGTACATATGCATTCAGAACTGTCTATCTTCTATTAAACTGAAATATGAAATATTACCTTTGTAATCTCAATCATGCTTTCTGCCTTAGTGACTTTTTAGTCTGGTATTAACATGATTAAACAAGTTCTTAGCTGGCCTTGCAACTTAAAGGCTTTTTTCCAATTGTTTTCAACCTTCCTGAATTTCTGTTTAGGTATATTACTTAACAGAATATCACTATTTTTGAAATACCATCTTCAACTAAAAGATACCATGTGTTTTTTTTTGTTTGTTTGTTTGTTTGGCAGGCAGAGTGGACAGTGAGAGAGAGAGAGAGAGAGACAGAGAGAAAGGTCTTCCTTTTGCTGTTGGTTCACCCTCTAATGGCCGCCGCGGACGCCGCACCGCGCTGATCTGATGGCAGGAGCTTCTCCTGGTCTCCCATGGGGTGCAGGGCCCAAGCACTTGGGCCATCCTCCACCGCACTCCCGGGCCACAGCAGAGAGCTGGCCTGGAAGAGGGGCAACCGGGACAGAATCCAGTGCCCCGACCGGGACTAGAACCTTGTGTGCCAGCGCCACAAGGCGGAGGGTTAGCCTAGTGAGCCATGGCGCTGGCCACCACTTTCAATCCAGCTCTCTGCTGTGGCCTGAGAAAGCAGAAGATGGCCCAAGTGCTTGGGCCCCTGCACCCACTTGGGAGATCCAGAAGAAACTCCAGGCTCCTGGCTTCGGATCAACCCAGCTCCAGCTATTATGGCCATTTGGAGAGTGAACTAGCAGACTGAAGACCTCTCTCTCTCTGCCTCATTCTCTGTAATTCTGCCTTTCAAATAAATCTTCTTTAAAAAAAAAAGTTAAAAAAAAAAAAAAAGACACATGAACTAGTGCATTTAAAAAAAATATTAAAATGAGGAACTGTGTTACAGCGTTGTGGGTTAAGCTGCTGCCTGCAGTGCTGGCATCCCACGTGAGTGATGACTGCTCCACTTCTGATCCAGCTCCCTGCTAACACACCTGGGAAAGCAGCAGAGGACAGATCAAGTGCTTGGGCCCCTGCACCCATGTGCAAGACCCAGAATAAGCTCCTGGATCTGGACCAGCCCAGTTCTGGCCATTGTGACAATTTGGGGAGTGAATCAGTAGATGGAAGCTCACTCTTTCTCTCTTTCTTTCTCTGTAACTCTTTCAAATAAGTAAATATTAAAAAAAAAAAAAAGAAGAAGAAGAAGAAGAAGAAGAAGAAAGAAAGAAAGAAAGAAAGAAAGAAAGAAAGAAAGAAAGAAAGAAAGAAAGAAAGAAAGAAAGAAAGAAAGAAAGAAAGAAAGAAAGAAAGAAAGAAAAAGACTGCATGATCCACTTCTGGACACAGACTCTACAAGAATACTCTCACAAAAGCACTAAGAGTGGGCCCAGCGCCATGGCTCACTTGGCTAATCCTCCACCTGTGGCGCCGGCATGCCATATGGGTGCCGGGTTCTAGACCCAGTTGCTCCTCTTCCAGCCCAGCTCTCTGCTGTGGCCCGGGAGGGCAGTGGAGGATGGCCCAAGTGCTTGGGCCCCTGCACCTGCATGGGAGACCAGGAGGAAACACCTGGCTCCTGGCTTCGGATCAGCACAGCACCGGCTGTAGCGGCCATTTAGGGGGTGAACCAATGGAAGGAAGACCTTTCTCTCTCTCACTATCTGTAACTCTACCTGTCAAATAGATAAAAAAAATCTTAAAAAAAAAAAAAAAAAAAGGCACTAAGAGATGTATAATGACCACAGCAGCATAGTTCCTAGGATCACGTGAAGAATACAGCAGACTTGCTCTCCTTGCCTGCTGGCAGGGTGGGCCATGGCTGGTGTTTGGGAACTTCACATTTCCGTCAGTTCTCACTCCCTGGACGAGCGGCACACTGACTCGAGGCTGAGCCCAGGCCCTGTGCTCTTCCCGGGAGGCTGTCCTGGGTGCGGAGTCTCTGAAGGCTTCTTTTTTTTTTTTTTTTTTAAGATTTATTTATTTATTTGGAAGTCAGAGTTATACAGAGAGGGGAGAGGCAGAGAGAGAGAGAGAGAGGTCTTCCATCTGATGGTTCACTCCCCAGTTGGCTGCAACGGCCGGAGCTGCGCCGGTCCGAAGCCAGGAGCCAGGAGCTTCCTGCCGGCTCCCACGTGGGTGCAGAGGCCCAAGGACTTGGGCCATCCTCCACTGCTTTCCCAGGCCACAGCAGAGAGCTGGACAGGAAGTGGAGCAGCCAGGTCTCAAACCGGCACCCATACGGGATGCCGCCGTTTCAGGCCAAGGTGTTAACCTGCTGCGCCACAGCGCCGGCCCCTGAAGACTGCTTGTAGCAGACAACATGCCACAGGCTATCCTAGCAACTTGCTGCTGGGAGAACCAAACGCTTCCTGAGTGTCCCCCAGGACAGGAACCTTGCAGACTGGGCCTGATTTCTGCCAGATGCTGTCCGGGTCACTTTAGCTTTTGCTCCTTCTGCTTTCTTTCCCTGTGACAGATCACAGCGATGCTCTGACAACATGCTGGTCCTGCGAGTCCTCCCGCCAAGTCATCACTCGTGGAGGTTAGGCAGTGACGTCGGGGACTTTCTCCACCAGGGCTGGTGGAGGAGGAGGATTTGCTAGAACCACGCTGACTCAGGAAGAGGAAATACGAAGAAGGGGGGTATGACAAGCCTATTTCATAATTCTCATTAACTGTCCCAGCATTCATTCTTACTAAGACTTTAAACATACTTGATTCTTGTAAGATGCTGCAAACCTTAGCTTAGAAAACCTATGTTCTGGGGCCAGTGTTGTGGCACAGGAGGGAAGCCACCACCTGAGAGGACAGCATCCCACATGGGCACCTGCTGTGTCCCTGCTGTTCCAGCTCTGACCCAGCTCCCTGCTAACAGCCTAGGAAAAGCAACGTAAGATGGCCCAAGTGTTTGGGCCCCCGCCAGCCACTTGGGGGACCTGAAGCAGCTCTCAGCATCTGGGGAGTGAACCAGCAGATGAAAGATATCTTTCTCTCTCTCTCTGCCTCACCCTCTCTGACTCTGACTTTCCGATATATTCATCTTAAAAAATACCTATGTTCTGGGAAATTCAAATAACAATGACTCCTTGTAAACAGACACCCCAAATATTGTCTTGGGGCTGGTGCTGTGGCTTAGTAGGCACAGCCTCTGCCCGTGGCACCAGCATCCCATATGGGCACTGGTTTGTGTCCTGGCTGTTCTTCTTCCGATCCAGCTCTCTGCTTATGGCCTGGGAAAGCAGTGGAAGATGGCCTAAGTGCTTGGGCCTCTGGATCCACATGGGAGATCCAGATTAAACTCCTGGATCTTAGCTTCAGCCTGGCTGTTGCAGACATTTGGGATGAACCAGTGGATGGAAGACCATTCTCTCTGTCTGTCTCTCTCTCCTCTGTAGCACTGCCTTTCAAATAAATAAAATGCTTTTAAAAAATTATTGTACCATATATTCCAAGCTGCTTAAAAAAGAAAGCACTCACCCACGAACTCCCAGTATTTTTTATAATCGGCAGGAAATTTTCGCAAATGCAACTGATAGAAATTCTCTTTATTTGGAGAGTTCATCCATTCCTGTGCCACCTGTAGAAAGCAAAAAAGCAAACTGACAAAGCCAAAACAATTTGCAGAGTTATGCTAAATAGCAGTATTTTTCAAAGTTAACAAAAACAAAATGCAGAACCTAGAGTCCCAGCATACAAATGATTATTCTGACAGCTTAATTAAACCGTCCAGCACTACCCTTGGTATTGCAGTTTAAGCTCTAAAATCAACAGCTGCATTGCTGCACCAGTGATACCACCAGGCCTCAAGCTGACTGCGCGCGCACACCTGTGCAGGGACAGCCAGTCCCTCGCAGCCTCGATCCTCAACTTCTTCTCTAGTGCTGGAAATTTCTCCGTTTTAATTTCCATTAACTAGTGCGGCGTTTTTCCTGACCTGTATACTGGCACTTCTTTGCCAACCTACTCTATGCGTCTTTTCCACTCTATCCCCCCTGGCACCCCATGAGAGATTTGCTCTGGTTTTCTAGTTTATTTCCTTCTACCCAGGCGCTACCCACATCAGGAGCAGAGCTCTTCGCTGCAACTCGCGCACTCGCACAACCCCACCCTCCTGCGGTCTCTCCCTCCTGCTTCACTTTCCTGTGTTCTCTACCATCTCTGACCAAGACTGCAGCTTCGCTGACTGTCCCCTGATTCTGCCTCACCTGCTCTAGTTTCGTCTCTCTTCCCTTTCAGTGACTTCTCGCCAGCAGAGTGCAGCCTCCCCATCTGAACTCACACTCATCAGGGTACTAGAACAGTGGCTGGGAACGCATACCGGGGGAACAAAGGGCTAATCGACCACCACCTAGCTTTCGGAGCCAGGCTGGTGAGTAGAGGTAGGGAGGAAGTCAGGAAACAAGAACGCTTTGTCCTTGTCTCCCACATGGCTGGCAGGAACCCAAGCCCTTGGGCTGTCATCCAGTTTTCCCAGGAACATTAGCAGGGAGCTGAATTGGAAGTGGAATAGCCAGGCTCCAACTGGCACTGTCAGGATTCTGGTGTCACTGTGCTGGCCCCCTAGTATTTGGTTTTTAACCCTTGCATTTAACACAGAAAAGTGTGAATTAGGTAAACAGTGCATCGTTTTGGCAAGCACCTTTATTCATTTGTTTTGCACCCCTGGATGCAGCAGCCCTTTGGAGAGGGAACCAGCAGATGGAAGCTCTCTCTCTCTCTCTCTCTCTCTCTCTGTGTCTCTCCCTCTGTCATGCTGCCTTTCAAATAAATCAATAAATCTTGGGGAGGGGGACACAAAAGAAATATTCCTTCTACCAGCCATGTTGGTATACAAGACTCAGCATTTTGAAATCTTGAAAAGCTGAATTCGGGGCTGACACTGTAGCCTAGCGTATAAAGCCACCGCCTGCAGTACTGGCATCCCATATGGGTGCCGGTTTGAGTCCCGGCTGCTCCACTTCAATCCAGCTCTCTGCTGTGGCCTGAGAAAGCAGAAGATGCCCCAAGTTCGTGGGCCCCTGCACCTGCGTGAGAGAGCTGGAAAAAGCTCCTGGCTTTGGATCGGCACAGCTGTTGCGGCCATCTGGGGAGTGAACTAGTGGATGGAAGATCTCTCTCTGCCTCTCCTCTCTCTGCCTAATTCTGCCTCTCAAAAAAATATATCTAAAAAAAAAAAAAAAAAGCCAAATTTGTTCTCATTTATCTTTCGTGCTGATGTGTGATTTCATAAAACATCGTTATATCCCACTTGTAATAATTAGCTGGATAATCAAATACTACGCTTCATGTTCTAAACAGAACCAATCAAATGTTCACAGCAGGAGTCCACACCAAGTGAACACTGAGTTGCATCAAAGCGCATCAGAACGATGGGGATCCTTACGCAGGCAATGATCCCAGTGAGACCACCGCCTGCTAAAGACCTTGGTGTCGCACCTCTGCACGGGAACCCCCAGACCCGACTTCTTTTACTTAGCATAATCTTTCAACATTCTCTCCAGGAGAGTGGCTGAGGGGAGACTAACATTCCCTAATCCAAGCAAATAAAACGACCAAGATCAGGTCTCCAAAGAGGCTAAGACCCTCTGATCTAGGGACAGCAGAAAGGACAAGGACGCCACAGGGGAAATCCAGCGCACGCTTCTGCGCCGCACTCTAGGGCGCTCCTGTGTCCCCTAGCTTCAGCCTAGCCCTCTTCCCACACGCAACTTCCAGCCAGGATACACTTCCCAGACGAAACTAGTGAGCATTCTTTGGGAAGTCTGACTTAATAAACAAGACTAGAAATACTGACATACAGGGGCCAGCGCTGTGGTGTAGCAGGTGAAGCCGCCACCTGCAGTGCCGCATCCCATATGGGCACCGGTTTGAGTCCGGCTGCTCCACTTCTGATCCAGCTCCCTGCTGTGGCCTGGGAAAGCAGTGGAAGATGGCCCAAGTCCTTGGGCCCCTGCACCTGCATGGGAGACCTGGAGGAAGCTCCTGGCTTCAGATCAGCGCAGCTCTGGCTGTTGTGGCTATTTGAGGACTGATTCAGGGGATGGAAGACCCCCCTCCTTCTCTCTGCCTCTCCTCTCTGTAAATTTGCCTTTATTTCCAAATAAATAAATCTTAAAAAAAAAAAAAACAAACAAAAAAAAAAAAAACAACAATACTGACATATGGGTAGGGGTGAGGCCCACTCTTCCATTCAGATATTCTGGTATTTTTAAAAGCTTACATATAAAACAAAATGGATTATAACTGCACCTAAGTGCAATATCTTAACATACAGAATAAAACTGGAGCCAGCGCAGTGGCGCAGCTTAATCCTCCACCTGTGGCACCGGCAATCCATGCGGGCACTGGTTCTAGTCCCAGCTGGTCCTCTTCTGATCCAGCTTTCTGCTGTGGCCTGGGAAAGCAGTAGAGGTTGGCCCAGGTGCGAGGGCCCCTGCACTCGCATGGGAGACCCGGAGGAGGATCCTGGCTTCGGATCGGCCCAGCTCTGGCCACTGTACACTTTTGGGGAGTAAATTGGTGAATGGAAGAACTTTGTTTCTCCCTCTCTGTAACTCTCTACCTCTCAAATAAATAAAATATATATTGAAAAAATAAAACTAGGCGCCGAGATTGTGGTGCAGCAGGTAAAGCCACTGCCTGCGATGCTGGCATCCCACAGGGGCACCGTGTAAGTCCCATGTGAGAGACCCAGATGAAGTTCCAGGCTCCTGGCTTCAGCCTGGCCCAGCCCTAGCTGTTGCAACCATTTGGGGAGTGAACCAGTGGATGAAGATTTCTGTTTTTCCTTCTAACTCTGCCTTTAAGATTTATTTCTTTGAAAGTTAGAGTTACAGAGAGGCAGAGGCAGAGAAAGAGAGCGAGCGAGCGAGCAAGCATGCGTGAGGTCTTCTATCTGCTGGTTCACCCCCACAAAAGGCTGCAACGGCTGGAGCTGCGCTGATCCGAAGCCAGGAGCTTCTTCTGGGTCTTCCCATATGCGAGCGCAGGGGCCCAAGGACCTAGGGCACCTTCTGCTGCTTTCCCAGCCATAGCAGAGAGCTGGATCGGAAGTGGAGCAGGTGGGACTCAAAGTGGTGCCCATGTGGGATGCTGGCACTGCAGGCAGTGGCTTTACCCCCTATGCCATAGCGCCTACCACAATCTGCCTTTCAAATAAATAAATAAATCTTCAAAATAATTTTTTAAAAAGGAAAAAAAATAAAACTAAAGTTGAAGTAGATCATGCGATGGCATCCCTCGTATCCACCTGACTCCCACGGTACAGTCACCTAGGTCGGTCGTTTCTGTAGGAATGTATTAGAATTTCATCTGTGTCCCACAGCCTTTCACCCTGCCACTTCTCAAGTTGACCCTGTCAGGACACACAGGTCACAGGACACACCAGAGTCCTACGGCTTGGTCGCCTGTGCTGGGCGACTATCACCACTACCTAACCCCACATTCCCATCCCCCCAGAACCCCACAGCCTATTATTAGCAGTCCCAACTCCCCCTCCTCCCATCCCGCCCATCCCATGGCAACTACTACTCCACTTACTGTCTATACAGATCTGTCTACTCTGGTAACACACATAAATGGAATCATGGAAAATTTGACCTTCTGTAACTGACTTGTTTTACTTAGCATAATGTTTTCAACATTCATCAATGAACATGTACCCAAACGTCACTTCTTTGTACGGCTGAGTTATATTATATGGATAGACCACATTTTGTTTATCCATTAATCCGCTGATCGACAATAGGCTGTGTTCGTATTTTGGCTACTATGAATAATGCTCCAATCCACTGTTCAGCTACCAGAAATCATCAGCCATCTGAAAAAAGGAATTAAGGAAGTATAGGGCTGGTGCTGTGGCATAGTGGGTAAAGCCACTGCCTCCAGTGCTGCCATCCCATATGGGCGCCGGTTCTAGTCCCGGCTGCTCCACTTCTGATCCAGCTCTCTGCAGTGGACTGGGAAAGCAGTGGAGGATGGCTCAAGTGCTGGGGCCCCTGCAGGAGACCCAGAAGCTCCTGGCTCCTGGCTTCGAATTGGCACAGCTCTGGCTGTTGTGGCCAACTGGGGAGTGAACCAGTGGATGGAAGACCTCCTCTCCCTCTCTCTGCCCCTCCTGCTCTGTGTATAGCTATGACTTTGAAATAAATAAATAAATGTTAAGGGGAAAAAAAAGTACAGATATCAAAATGAACAGAAAAAAGGGCCGGTGCCGTGGCTCAGCAAGTTAAAGCCTCGGCCTGCAGCACTGGCATCCCATATAGGCACTGGTTCAAGTCCCAGCTACTCCACTTCCAATCCAGCTGCCTGCTACTATGCCTGGGAGAGCAGTGGAGGATGGCCCAGGAGATCGGGCCCCCGCACCCACGAGGGAGACTTGAAGAAGCTCCTGGCTGCCTTTCAAATAAATCAATCTTTAAAAAAGAAAAAAAAAAAAAAAAAAGGTGTGTCACCACCATCTAGAACGGTGTGGCTGCGCAAATGTCTGTTCAATATAAAATCAGAAAGGCTCATTACTCCAACTGCACCTTAACATCCATGGTCACTAAGAGCTCCACCTTGAGAAGTCTCGAGAGACAAACAAGTGAACTGTACTTACTGTTTCAAAAGTATTCAACATCACCAAAGGGAAAAACACATTAAAATAGTCTCCGCAGTCTTGAAATCTGACGGGCACGGGTCGTGAGATGGACTGACAGAGGCTTGCCGGGGGCCCACACTGATCGAAGTTCAAGAACATGTCGTATTTCCACGTTAGGACCTCTTTAACAAAGGTGTCAGACAGAGACTGTGCCGACAAGGGGGCGTTTACTGGAGAGGAAGCGGAGAAGAGAGACTTGCTTTCCCCAAACGGAAGTGTGTGCCGCTGCCTGCTGGGATTAGCTGGAGGCTGAGGAAGGACACTGCACAATCCCTTCCCTTCCCCCACCGGGTCTGGCAGTACCAGGGGCACCGGCTGTGGTCCTTTCAAAACAGACTGCGTCCCACTGGACTTGTTTTTCAGAGCTGATGTAAGTGCTGAAGCGTTCTCCAAGGACCTGGAAAAATTAGCAATTCGCGACGTGCTGCTTGAGCTAAAAACCTTAGTAGTGGAAGGTCGCAAAGGCTTGGCTGCAGAAGGAGGCAAGCCAGGCTTACGGAACACAGCTTCATCCGCAACTTCAGCTTCCGAATGTCTCGCGCAGTAGTCACCAGCGCTTTTCATGGCCTCAACACAATCCTGGTCCTTGCACTTCGTGTCACGCAAACATTCCGACTGCGGCCAACTGAGAGCACTGTCTGCTACCTTCCCATGACCTACTTCAATTAGTTCATCGTTGTAAGTCTCCATTTGTGAACACAGATCCATATCTTCAGGGTCGTTCTGTGTTAAAAATAAGCTCTCGTCGTCTGTGTCACTGCCAGACTCAGGCCCTGCCTCAGTCAAAGCTGCCCCCTCGGCAGGACGAGCCGCGGAACCGCCTCCACCCCAAGGGAACGGGTCTTCTGAAGTGGAAGTAATTAAGTCAGTTGGTGTTTTTCCATCTAATGCCACAGAATCGCTCTGGTTCAAAAGACCAGCGTCACCAGCCACTCGAGAAATAGAATTTGCTTTCATGGTTTCTGGTTCAGGTGGCACGCACTTTATTAACTGCTTCCCATGACTGTCGGCAAGTACCTCCATCCCACCCTTCTTACAATCTGACCTCCCAGACTCGGGCACAGACGCCGACGCCTGTGCCGTGCGCGGCTCTGCACTGGCAGCAGCCACAGTCTGACAATCAAAAAGCCGGTGTGCGTTCTGCCGTGATCTGGGTCTCAGCTGCCTCCGCAACTGAGCATCCTGACTTATCAGCAGCTTCTTGTTATTTCTTACGGAAAGTGTCTGAGGAGAAATTAGTTTGCTCCTTTTTCGTGTATCGACGACTCCAACAGTTTTGCCGTGATCACGTAACTGAACTAAATAATCCAAGCTTCGCTGGGATAAATCAAAAGCCTTTCGAGGGGCCTTTTTCAGACCCAGCTTCTCAACTGTTGAAGTTGGCTCAGGACACTGGCGAAACTTCTTTGGTGGCACAATCGCAGGCGTCGTCCTACAACTTAGGTAATTCAGACTTTTATTCTGCCCTCTTCTGGCACTTGAAGGTGTTTTCTTAGACGTTATCGAAGGCAGGACTCTCCTGATGGGCTTTGAGTACGTACGCAGCTTGGGGGATTTCCTGGGTGACACGGCAGCGGCTCTGTCAGCGCTGGAATCGGGAGCTACGCTTCTCTCGTCTGCACTCCCAGAAGGTTCTCTCTGGTTCTCAGGCCGGTCCTCACTGCTGACAGAAGATGAAGGCCTAGCAGGCTCTTCGGCCCCGGGCTTTTCCAATCGTTTTCTCTTCGCTCTGACTTCACCTTCACAGAGCTCCTCACAAGTACTACTGCTCTGCGGTTCCGCACGTTCTTCAGCCCCCTTGGCCACTTCCTTAGTGTTCGCGTCAGGCTCACTCGTCTTCCGGTCAAAGTACCAATCAGGTGTGATGTCAGTCACAGGAGTGGGAGAGGCCTTTCCACGGGGACTGGGAGAGGCCTTTCCACGTGGACTGGGTGAGGGTACGTTTTCACGTGGACTGGGAGAGGGTACGTTTCCACGTGGACTGGGAGAGGGTACGTTTTCACGTGGACTGGGAGAGGGTACGTTTCCACGTGGACTGGGAGAGGGTACGTTTCCACGTGGACTGGGAGAGGGTACGTTTCCACGTGGACTGGGAGAGGGCACGTTTCCAGGTGGACTGGGAGAGGGTACGTTTCCAGGTGGACTGGGCTCTGCCTTACCATCTTGCCAAGCTGAATATACTTCAGATGAGCTTTCAAACTCAAACAACTGCGACTCACTGTCTTCAGCCTCTAAGAGGGACACCATCTCCTCGTCCATTAGCTTTTTTTCCATGTTAGTATTGACGACCGAAGCTCGCTGCCCTGGACGCACTTCCCCAAGGCATTTTTTGTTCTGTTTCTTGTGTTTCTCAAAACCCAGGATTCTTTCCTCTTCATCATCAGAATCTGAAATGACAATAACCTGTCCACAGCTGAGGTCTTCAGCATTATCCTGGTTGGCTTTAGAATGCCTTTTATTATCATCTTTTGCTTTCCTTTGTAGCTGGAATGAGTTTTTCTGCACTGAATCGGATGGAAACTTGATGACACTAGCTTGAGCCATCAAGGAGAGTCTGTGGAGGTCTCGGTCTACCTGAGAATCTGTTAGAGTGTCCGAGCGGGGACTGAGGCCAGGCGCCTCTCCTCTCGCCACGTCACACGAGAGCAGACCCACGCTCTTGTTCGCAGCCTTGTCTCTAGAGTCGATCGCAGCCTTGTCTCTAGAGTCGAGCACAGTCACAGAACCTCCAAGTGCACACGTTTCCCTCACTGAGGCACTGTTCATCTCCGCACAAGGCACCAAATCCTCACCATCAACACCACCTTCCTGTCTCTTACAGCTGCTTTTGTGGGAAGAGAAAATATCTACCTCTTCAGTTTTCAACTTTTTCTTTAGTTCTCCATTATGATCCAGAACAGCATTAGCATCTAGAGACAGACTGTGTATGAAGCCGTTCCCTTTCTGAACTCCCACCTCTTTCCTTGGACAGCAGCTCTCAGGGTGAGACACAGCCGGATTTTCCTCTAACCTGCCAGCATCAGGGACACAGGTGGTTTTCCTGTATTGCTTCCTTATGACCCGTGACAACCTGGCACAGATTTCCTCTCTCTGTGCCTTGGTTTTTGGTTTTGAGGTTTTACCAAGGTCATCCTTGAGAGAGACCTCCTCGTTTGAAGAAGACACTTTTCCCAGAGAACTACTGCTACAATCAGTCAAAGCACACGCTGACGTCAGTCCTCCGTCACACCCCGTTTCGGAACCACTGCTGGCCGGGCGACTCTGCAGCAAGCGCGAGGCGCTCTCCCTCACAGATGGCTGCTGCCCTGCACCTGCTCCGCTCTCCTCTCGAGCCCTTCCAGCGAAACGGCCTTCACGGCTCTGCTCCGAGCACGCCGCGGCTGACACATTACCTCCTGGCTTGCAGCCCGTCACACAACCCTGCTCCGCGTCCTCCTCCTCGGCCTGGACCAGTGCCTTCTCTTGCAGTTGGCGTGCACCAGCCTTCACGGAGTCTCTAGAAAACGCTGGACTGCAGTTTTCCAGACAATGCGTGTCATGTCTAGGTTTCTTCTCTGCTGGGTCACTTTCTTCCTTGTAAGATACAGGAGGGATTTTACAAGCAGGAGTCAGATCCACAAAAGTGCTACACGGAGGTACTTTGGATTTTATGTTCCTGATAATTTGTTTTAAACACGTTTGCAACTCATGGGTTTCTTGACTAGTCAATTGCCAACCTAGAGATAAGTTTCCCCGAAGGAACAAATTAAGCTTGTCCCAGAACCGCTTACAGTGGGCCTGCTGCCCAAGCTGATAGCCTTCTCTGAGGAGACTTCTGATCAGCTGCACACAAGCCAGCTGGACAGAGTTAGACGGCATCGAATGCAACGCCAGCGACGAGACCACGGCCGCTCCCTTGCAGCCACTTCCCGAAGACTTCTCGGAGCTCCGCGCAAACGCAGCGGTAGGGAGTTTGGCGCACTTCACGACGGCTTCCACCCACTGCTGGGAACTCACCCACAGCAAATGCAAGCACTTTTTATTTCTGTGCAGTTCAATCACTGACACCAAAATTAGAAGAAAAAATTCAGTGACTTTGTCACACACAGCATCTGTTTGATTGAGGACATCTTTGACTTCAGAGTAGAGATGATGGATAACCTCCACTATGTAAGCCACACCCAAATCTTTCAGATCCATCAGGGACTGAACAAAAGGTATGAACCACAGAAACGTGCTATTATGAACACGCATGTCTTGACCAATGTCTGACTGAAGTACACTGGCTAACGTTTCCATTTCTTCATACATGTTAGGACAATAATCTGGGCAGATGGCTGATCTCCACCCTGCATCCTAAAATGAAAGAGATACCGACGTTTAGATAAACAAATAGCATTCATTATAGGTTTACCCCCAAGGTGTAAGAAAATATACTTCTCAAGCTTTTCTATTTATTTTTTGAAGTTCTTTTTAATATATCTAATTCCCAAGGGAAAAAAAGACATCTGTTGGTCTTGATGTTAAAGTCTGATGAAGGCCAAATTTACTCCACACTCACACCCTGTGGCCTTCTTTCCATCAGCTGGTTTGATTTCTCTCCATGCCACTTATCTCCTCCCTTACCCATACACTTTCCACATTTCTCCAAATGCACTCAAACTACGTTTCCCAACCGTGCAAGGTGCAGACTCCATCCCCTCGCCCCACGCCCAGCCTCTCTGTAGCAGCTGATTCAGAAAAGGTACGGGGCATAAAACCAGCAGTTCAACTAACTACAGGAGACGCTGTGTATACAACACAAAGGCTACAGCATCCGTGAATTTGTTTTAAGTATTTTATACCTTTTTAGTCTTCTCAGGATTATAATTGTATACAATCTGGCTGCAAGTCACCATATCATCCAAATACGACTCCGGTTCTAACTTGGTCCTAAAAGTGTTAAAAACAAACAGAAATTACTGAAATGAAGGGAAAGAAAGAAAACTCCTCGTCACGTCAGGTGCGACAGTCCTCCTTCGGTCCTGACAGGAACGAACCTTGCAGAGCTGTTCCGAACGTTCTGGATCTCTCTCCTGTAGCTCTCACTGTTGATGATGGTCTGAAATGCCTCGATAGGATCGATCAGCTGGCCCCAGACCTTGGAGCCAAGGCGGTCCAGAATCACCATGAAACAATGCAGTGCTGGCCAGAAAGGATCCACACTGTCATCTGAAACACAACGGAGCAACTGCTAAGTCACAATCAGAAAACATAGTAATTTTGGAATTTGGTATACTTAATTCTGAAAGAATTAAAAGAAAGCAAAAATAGCAATTTATTTACTTATTTATTTTAATTTGATAGGCGGAGTTAGAGAGAGAGAGGGAGAGAAAGGTCTTCCTTCCGTTGGTTCACCCCCCAAATGGCTGCTACGGCAGGCGCTGCGCCGATCCGAAGCCAGGAGCCTCCTCCTGGTCTCCCATGCGGGTGCAGGGCCCAAGCACTTGGGCCATCCTCCACTGCCCTCCCGGGCCACAGCAGAGAGCTGGACTGGAGGAGGAGCAACCGGGACTAGAACCTGGCGCCCATATGGGATGCCAGCGCCGCAGGCAGAGGATTAACCAAGTGAGCCACGGTGCCGGCCCTCCAATAGCAAGCAATTTGCAGTAAAGGTCTGCCAAATCAGAAGTTTTTAGAAGCTGGAGAATCTTCAATTTTTTTTTTTTTTCAAACAATACTATGGTGGCTTTGTAAAAGAAAACAAAGAAAGAAAGACAGAAAGACAGAAAGACAGAAAGAAAGAAAGAAAGAAGGAAAGAAACGAGCTGCTAATAGGTAACACGGTCTAGGTAAACACAGCCTGAGTTCTCACCGTTTGCTATACCGAAACACGCTTCGTTACCAAGCTCTCCAGTGTGTCCCACAACTTCCATCTCCCAACAAACAACAGAAAATAAAGGCAAAAAGAAAAGACTGGAGCCCCACTGTGGCATAGGAGGCTCAGCCTCCGCCTGTGGCACCGGCATCTCATATGGGCGCTGGTTTGTGTCTAGGCTGCTCCTCTTCCCATCCAGCTCTCTGCTTACGGCTTGGGAGGGCAGCGGGGGATGGCCCAGGTCCTTGGGCCCCTGCACCCACGTGGGAGACCCTGAAGAAGCTCCTGGCTCCTGGCTTCAGATTGGCCCGGCTCCTGCCATTGTAGCCATTTGGGGAGTGAACTAGCAGATGGAGGACCTTTTTCTCTGCCTCTCAAATAAATTTTAAAAGAGAGAGAGGGAGAGAAGGATCTAAGGAGGCCTCTAGCACAACAGCTAACGTCAGAGACTCCACAGCAAGTGCGTAAGCAAGCAAGGTGCTGCAGCTGAGCACGGCATTGGCACTCGCTCTTCTTCCGAATCAGGAATCAGGTACTCGCAAGCTCGCGGCTCCACCACGCCCTCCCCTCCCCACTATCAGAGTGGCAGGACAAGACAGTGCCCGAGACCTTCCACAGCTCCTTACTGTCTTCCAAGAAAATTCAAAAGCTCAGTCAAGAACTCAGAAGACCTTGCTCTATTGTTTCTTCCCAACGTTATCATCCATACTGCCGTCATCACACACTATCCACAGCAGAAGCAGATCTCTGGTTGTTCCCACAAAGGCACCAATGCCTTCACAATTAGCTTCACTGACCAAGATCGGAGCCATCGTGAAGGTGCAGCTTAAATGCCTGCTTCTCCATTAAACATCTCCCAACCATTTACTCGCTTCCAGTTCTCTTCTAGGGCAGGTGCTGTATCTCACTTAGAAGGTATGGGTGGGGGGGGGCTGGCACTGTGGCACGGCAGGTAAAGCCACTGCCTCCAGTGCCGGTATCCCATATGGGCACCAGTTTGTGTCCCGGATGCTCCACTTCCAATCCAACTCCGCTGTGGCCTGGAAAAGCAGAAGATGGCCCAAGTCCTTGGGCCCCTGCACCTGTGTGGGAGATCAGGAAGAACCTCCTGGCTCCTGGCTTTGGATTGGCGCAGCTCCGGCCGTTGCGGCCAACTGGGGAGTGAACCATCGGACAGTAGACCTCTCTGTTTCTCTCTCTCACTGTCTGTAACTCTACCTCTCAAATAAATAAAATCTTTATATATGCGCCAAGGTCTAATAAGGTTAACCTATTTTAAGATTTATTTTACTTGAAAGTCAGAGTTACACAGAGAGAGAAAGAGAAGCAGAGAGAGAGAGAGAGAATCTTCCATACGCTGATTCAGTCCCCAATTGGCTGCAACGGCCAGAGCTGCGCCAATCCAAAGCCAGGAGCCAGGAGCTTCTTCCAAGTCTCCTATGTGGGTGCAGGGGCCTAACGACTTGGGCCATCTTCCAGTGCTTTCCCAGGCCGCAGCAGAGAGCTGGATCAGAAGTGGAGCAGCCAGGTCTCAAACCGGCGCCCACATGGGATGCAGCGCAGCAGGCGGCAGCTTTACCCACTATGCCACAGCACTGGCCACAATCTATTTCTTCTAGAGCATCCCAGAGTCTGTATCTATAACCAGGCTGCTGGAAGGAGTGAGTGAGGGAAACAGTTACTGGCGTGCTTGGTCTGCAGCCAATCACTATTCCCACATTACAAATCTCGGTGCATGTCCTCCATGAACACCGTGACACAACCATTAGCACAAGAAGAGGGGGATCGAGTAACAGCATGACCGCAGTGTAAGGCCCCGTTTCCTGGACTTCCTAGAGCAACTCAGCCAAGAGAAATTCCTGATGAGGGACATCTCTATCTGCGCTAAGACACCCGACACATGTGGCTACGGAGCCTTGGAACACAATTAGTGGCACTGAAAAAATAAATCTTTGATTAAAATACCACGTGTGGCTGCTGCAATCCAAGAAACCATGGCAGAAAGCAGCAGCAGGCCACCGGAGCCGCACCACGCCACTGCTGTGTTAACAGTCGGCTCCACGGGCTCCGGCTTTCATTCAGCTGCTCATTCCCGCAACATGAAAATGTCAACTTCCCTAGGCTTCGGTATGCTCCTCTATGAAAGGAAGGTACTGAATTCAACTCTTTTTTTGTTTACGATTTACTTATTTGTTTGAGAGGTAGAGTTACAGAGACAGAGACAGCCTAACAGAGAGAGGAGTCTTCCACCTGCTGGTTCACTCCCCAGATGGCCGCAACAGCCGGAACGAGGCTGATCTGAAGCCAAGAGCCAGGAGCTTATTCTGGGTCTCCCATCTGGGTGCAGGAGCCCAAGGACTTGGGCCATCTTCCACTGCTTTCCCAGGCCACAGCAGGGATCTGGACCAGAAGAGGAGCAGCCGGGATATGAACTGGAGCCCATATGGGATGCTGGCACTGCAGGCAGAGGATTAACCTACTATGCCTCAGCACCGGCCCCTGAATTAAACTTTAATGGTTCTTTGTAAAGTTTGAATGTGTGCCCTAAGTCATTAAAAAAAATTATTTTTCTTCACACAATACACCTCAATTCCAACAGCGCGTGAGCATTCTAAACGTGCATCCTCACAGCGCTCAAAACACACAGCAAGCAAACTTCATTACCGTCCGACTGCCCCTCCATGGTGTGAAGTATCGATCGCATAAAATCATTTTGTTTATCTGAGCCCAGCAGCAGCGAGTCCATGGCCTGCTCCTCGAGAATGGTCAGCAACATGCAAATACCTGCAAGATCATTCACAACTCCCTCAGCTCATGAAGCAAACTGCAACGCATTCGGATTAAGGGGGCAGGAGAAAACAAGGCGGGACATGGAGCCAAACAGAACCCAGTTCCTCAAACACTGAGCTCTGAGACACTTACAAAGCTCCCAAGCAAAGGGGGGATTCCAATGTAAAAGGGCTTGGATTATCACGTAACTTGCATTTCATCAAATCTAAGATGACTTCAGTCTTAAGATGTACTTACAAACAAGAAGTGATGGCTAACAGGACACGTGACCTCAAACTGTAATCAGTTTGAAACAAGGGAGACCTATTTTGCGTCAATATAAGAAGAATTTGTAAAGGACACTAATATCTCTACTCATTGAAAAGTGGTTTTAACAATTAAACTTTACTGGTGTCAACTGTCACACTACTATTTTGCTCCTTCTAACATTGTTTCAACAGAAGATTCCTGTGCCAGTGTTTCGAATGTTTCCCTTCTTCAGAAAGTTTCTAGGATAAGTCATTAGCAGGACATGTAACAGGTCAATTAATGTAACAAGAATTAACAACTATGAAATCTTTTATTTTGAAAGTCTCAACAAATTATTCCCTTTTCAGAACACTCCTAAGAACTACAGGAAGATTCTAACTCTCAGAGTAGGAATAAGACTCACCCAGCCAATAGTTTTTGTAGTTGGTTGTATCATACATGTGTGAAGGCAGGAGAATCAGTTTACCCTTTTCCAGAACAGAAGAAGTATAAATGTCTGGACTTTCCAAAAGCCCCAATTCAATGACTTTAAAAAGGCAAGTCAGGACCTCCTGTAAGTCGTAGTAATCATCTCTGTCCACTTTCCCCAAGTTTCTTGCAGTCAGGATAGCCCAACGACGGACCTAAACGTGTAAGACAGCATGTTCATTATTACATACAGCGACAGCAGGGGGAAGCGGACACGAGTCTCTGGACATGTAACAGCCACATCAGACAGGCAAGAACTGTGGTGCAGTAAGTACAGCTGTCGCCCCTGGTATCGGCACCTCATAAGGGCAACAGGCTCGAGTCCCACATGCTCCACTTCCAAAACAGGTCCCTGATAACCGCCTGGGAAGAGCAGAAAACGCACAAGTGCGTGGGTCACTGCCACCCCATGGGAGACCCGCATGAAGCTCCCGGCTTCAGTCTGGCTCAGCACTGGCCGTGTGACCACCTGGAGAGTGATACAGCAGATGGACGCTCGCTCTCTTTCTAATAAATAATCTTTAAAAAGTAAATAAATAAGACTCATAAGAGACAGTAATCAATGTGATGCACAATCTTTAATCCTGATTTGAACTAGCCCCAACAGATCGCATATGAGACAATCACTTCATTCATTTAAACACTGACAGAAGGCTGGTATTAATGTGGAATGGCTATTTTAAAGATAATGGTATCTTTTTAAGTCCTTATTGTTTAGAAACATACTGAAATAGTTTACAGATCAAATGTCTAGAATTTTCTCTAAACTACTCCAAAGGGGATTAGGTGACCATGTATTGCTAACTGATAAAGCTGACTCACAGATTTCTGGAGGTTTACTATACTACTCTCTACTTTGGAATGCTTGCAATTTTCTTTCAAGAATGTCTTTCACTTTTTTAAGATTTAATTATTTGGGGCTGGCACTGTGGAACCTCTTCCAGTCTAGCTCTCTGCTACGGCCTGGGAAAGCAGTAGAAGAGGGCCTAAGTCCTTGGGCCCCTGCACCCACGCTGGAAACCCAGAAGGAACTCCAAGGACTTGGGCCATCTTCTACTGCTTTCCCAGGCCATAAGCAGAGAGCTGGATCAGAAGTGGAGCAGCCAGGACTCGAACCGGTGCCCACATGGGATGCTGGCACTGCAGGCAGCGGCTTTACCTGCTACACCACTGTGCTGTCCCCTCGCTTTATTTTTTTAGGATTTTTTACTTGAAAGGCAGAGTTAGATAGCAGGAAAGGGAGGGGGCAGAGGGAGACAGAGGTCTTCCACCCACTGGTTCTCCCCAGGAACGGCTACAACGCCCGGAACTGGGCTGATCCAACGCCAGGAGCGTCCTCCGGGTCTCCCACGCGGGTGCAGGGGCCCAGGCACTGGAGCCGTCCTCTGCTGCTTTCCCAGGTGCATCAGCAGGGAGCTGGACTGGAAGTGAAGGAGCCGAGGCTCAAACAGGTACGGGATGTCAGCACTGCAGGTGGCAGTTTACCCTGCCACACCACAGTGCTGGCCCCTTGCTTGCAATTTTCTACAACAATGTTTAAAAAGGCAAAGAAATCATGAGGAGGAATCTCCAAACAAATCAGTCACTTCTGAACAACAGTCTGGAGGCACAGCACGTCAGGCTGCCACCTGCAACGCTGGCTGCTCTACTTCAGGCCCAGCTTCCCACTGACACACCCGGGAAGGCCGGGGACGACGGCCCAGGTACTTAGACCCCCCACCCACACGGGAGGCCCAGATGGACCTGCAGGACCCCAGCCCCAGCTGTAGAGGCCATCTGGGGGTGAATCAGAGGTTGGAAGACTGATCTCTCTCTCTGCCTCTCCCTGTCTCTGTCACTGTGCCTTTCAAAGAAATAAGTGAATCTTTAAAAAATAAGTAAACAAATGACGGTATGATAGGATAAAGAAATTATTTGAAATTTCTTGGATACTATTAATTAATCAGTCTTCAAAAAACTAAATAAAATACAACTGAAAAGTACCAGAATGCAGCCTTCCTAAGTACTGTTTTGTATTACATATGCATGTGAGTATTCAATGAAAATTTTTTTAAGTTATTGTCAAAAAGTTTTAAGGGCCGGCACTGTAACACAGCGGGTTAACACCCTGGCCTGAAGCACCAGCATCCCATATGGGCACCGGTTCGAGACCCAGCTGCTCCACTTCCAATCCAGCTCTCTGCTATGGCCTGGGAAAGCAGTAGAAGATGGCCCAAGTGCTTGGGCCCCTGCACCCACGTGGGAGACCCGGGGGAAGCTCCTGCTCCTGCATTCAGATTGGCCCAGCTCTGGCTGTTGGTACCATCTGGGGAGTGAACCAGCAGATGGAAGACCTCTCTCTTTGCCTCTGCTTCTGCATCTCTGTTACTCTGCCTTCCAAATACATAAAATCTTAAAAAACAAACAAACAAACAAACAAAAAAACACCTAAAAAGAAGCATCCAGCAGATAAACTGGACAACACCTTGACTAGATAATCAAAACATCACTGGTGGGAGCAAAGCACTGTGCCTCTACGCATGTCACCTTGAGAACACAATGTCTCGTAGTTACATGCCTGGGCATACACAGGTGATGCCCTCATGCAGAAGTGACAGCCAACCCACAGGAGCAGCACTGTCTCTAAAAGACACAAAGACTGTTTTCTTCAGAAATCCAGTGATTGTAAAAGACAGAGAAATGTCCCAGGCTAAACAGGACTAAAGCAACATGACAACCAAATGTTGAACATGGTCCTAGCCTGAAGACTGGAGGGCACTAGCTCTCCTAACAAAACCGCAAGATGGATAGCATGGCACCAATGTTCCCTAGTTATCAGAGAGAGTATCTTTATTCTTGAGAAATACACACTGAAGCATTTCAGGGTAAAGGTTCAAGGTGGAACTTCATGTAGCTTTCAAATAGCTAAGAAAAAAATCACATTTAATTGAGAGCAAGTGATACAAAATGGAACAGTGTTAGCAACTGCGACCAGGAGGGAGACCATTGTTCCCTACTGCAGTTCTTCCTGTGAGTTTCCACAAAGTTTGAACGTGGAAGTATTCCGAGTCATTTTGTAGGTAGAAGGAAGCTGAAGCCGCGATGCCTACACACACCCTGCAGGTGCTATACACCAGTGTCTGGGGAACTGAGAAACATGCAAGTCTTCTGACTCCATTTCCTCAACTATCAAATATCCATACCACCTGCCACAAAATCACTCCAAGGTTTAAATTAGGTAACGTATGGACCACTCAAAATCGTATCTGAAATACAGTAAGCCTGAATAAACACTATTAAAAACCTTGACACACACAGCAGCGTCACACGTGACTTAGGAAAACAACATGAACAGGCTGACAGTAACTGAGCTGTCTAGACTGCCGGCGGTGGTGAGGCATCGAGGTGGTACGAAGGGCCATCCGTCACCTCTGGACTGCCAGTGGGGGACATGTTTCTATGCCAACAGCTCTTTTCCACTAGCACGTGGGAGACACTGTCCCTCTGAGGTTCATTTTTGGGGTTTAGCCAAGCTCACTGTATCTGGTCTTACTGTTGCTAGTCTCTTCTCTGGCTCCTTTAAGACCTTTCTCACAACCTGAGGACTCCCACGAGGGTGGCAGGGACCCAGTGACTTGAGCCCCGCAGGTGCACAGCAGCAGGAACCTGGCCCCAGGAGCAGGGCCAGGAGCTGAAGGCAGACACTCCAGCATGGGAGCAGGTGCCCCGAGCAGGGCCTCCACTGCTCTGCAAACGCCCATCCTCGACACTCGTGCTTCATACGCAATCACTTCCTGCAAAACCTTCCCAACTCTGTCTTTCATATTCTTAATTTCCATCATTCCATTTCAGTGTAGGGTTTTCTCTCTCTCTCGACATTCTGGTATGGAATCCGTAGAAGACGCAGGCTCTGCTTTTTTTTAAGTTCCAGGAAATTCATCTGCATGTTGCCCCACTGTTTCTCCATCTTGGTTTTAGTGTTCTTTCTGGGACTCCTCTGTGAGCATTACTACTTCTACTCCTCACACTGCTTAGCTTTTCTTCACGTGTTTTCTGTCTGTCTTTCTAAATCAATAATTTCTCGGCTCTACTCATTGTTATTTACTCTGTCTCCTAAAGTCTCTTTTTTAAAAACATTTACTTACTTGAAAGGCAGAGTTACAGAGGGGCAGAGGCACACAGAAAGAGAGAGAGGTCCTCCATCTGCTGGTTCACCCCCAAATGGCCACAACGGCCAGAGCTGGGCAGAGCCAAAGCCAGGAGCCAGGAGCTTCTTCCAGGTCTCCCACACGGGTGCAGGGGCCCAAGCATTTGGGCCATCCTCCACTGCCTTCCCAGGCCACAGCAGAGAGCTGGATCGGAAGTGGAGCAGCCGGGACTTAAACAGGTGTCCATATGGGATGCCGGCTTTCACCTGCTGCGCCACGGCACCGGCCCCCACAGTGTCCTTCTAACTCCTGTTATTCTGCACAAGCTCAAAGTGCAGCCACCAGCAGGCGCCCAGCTGCCGCTCACTGCCGACTCGGCTAAGCCACCAGCAGGCGCCCAGCTGCCGCTCACTGCCGACTCGGCTAAGCCACCAGCAGGCGCCCAGCTGCCGCTCACTGCCGACTCGGCTAAGCCACCAGCAGGCGCCCAGCTGCCGCTCACTGCCGACTCGGCTTCCACTCCATCCCCGGTCCCCAGGAAGAGCTACCTTCTAAGGGTGTGACTACACGTTCTCTCTCTTCAGCTCTATTCTATCAGTGTTCTAAGTGCGACACAGAGGAAACTGAAATTGACCACTGCCTTGATGGAATTCCCACGGCCATGTTCTTGGTCACTTCAAAAAAATGGCATTTTCTTACCTTAGAGATGCATTTTTTTTTAAAAATCTCTCTTTTTAAAATTTGTGTTTTAACTGAGGCAGAGACAGCGAGACAGAGGGAGCTCCATGTGCTGGTTCACCTTCCAAACGCACACAACGGCCAAGGCTGGAAGTCAGGAGCGTGACCCACGTCCTCCAGGCAGGTAGCAGGTCTTCAGTTACTGGCGACCCCACCACTGCCGCCCAGGGCCTGTGCTAGCAGGACGATGAAGTGAGGAGTGGGGTGCCCCGGGGGAGCCCCTCGCCTTCCTGGAGGGGGGCAGAGCAGCTGCTCAGGGCTACTGGCTCCGCACAGCAAGCACAGCTCCGGGCCCCACGGTGCAGGGAACCTGCAGCAGAGCCGTCCGCACTGCCCGGGGAAGACCTCACTCCAGGGCCCCTTCCTGCTTCTCCGTCCTTCCGCACTCCTAGCACCTAGGGGTGCCCCAGCCCTCTCCCCCGAATCCAGGATGAAAATGTTTTCAAATATTTTATCTGCTACTCCCTAGTGAGGCAGGCAGGTAAGAAAAATCAAGAGAGAAGAGTCCTCCTTTGCCAGTTTAGCTCAAGATATTAAAAAAAATAACATTATTCCTCATGTGTCTTTCAAGCTCAAGCGTCGTGTGTGAGAAAGTGTTCCCCTAGCCTTCTTCTGCAATCCCACACCACCTCCTACTTATCTAAAGTAAGAGCAGAAACATGTCAGCCAATATTAAAAAAAAAAAGAAAATAACGACAACAAATAAACACCAAAAACCTCTAGTGAAGATGTCCATCAAAGTTACAGGTACGAAAACAACACGTGTCCTTGCACGGCCGCTCACACTCACCATTTCGTTGGGATGGACCAAAAACAGGTAGATCCCTGGATGTTTGTCAAAAACCTGAAAGGAGCAATTGGCTTGTTCCATCCGACAAAGTGCTTCAACACACAATTCATCTAAACAGAAAAAATCAGGCCGTAAATCAAATACATAAATCTAACGCTCATCAAAGATTCTTTAATCGGGCTCCACTGGTTGTTCTGCAAGTAAGTGAAAAGTGGGGGCCCCACAACAAAGGACAACCTGATCCAATACGTGCACAGCACCAGGCTGAGAACCCTGCTGCTGACAAACCCAACAACGGAAATTAACTGCACAGATACGTGTTAAAGCCAACAGAGCAAAACACTGACAAATGCAGAATCTATGTGGCGGGTACACGGCGTTCACACTATAATGTACTCTCCTGTGTCTGAAAATCTTCATAAAAAGTAGCAGAGAAATATTAACTACTGTAGCTACATATTTAAGCAAACAAACGTTCAATATAGAGAAACCTAAACTCTCAGCGTCTACATAAGACTGAAAGCGACGCGAGCCCGGCGGTACTCACTGACGTGCGCGTGCAGAAGCAGGTAAGGGTACTTCAGTATCTCGAGGAGAGGCACGCGGAGCTTGTTTTCAAAATCCTGCCCAGTGAAGTCGGACAGCTGAGCTTCTCCACTGTCGTCTACTATATATAACTCATCATCTTCTCCAATTTCTGCCTTCATAGATTTTTCAAAATGGTTTATGAGACGTGAAGTTTCTAGTTCCCACAAAACCTGCAGAGAGAGAAGCGGGCACTGTGCTTCCACGTGCGGGAGGTGGTGGGTGCAGGGAGAGCTCCCGCGCGCAGAGCGGCGCCACCACGCACCGGCACACCTCAGGTGTGCTGTGGATCTGGCTCCAGACCACGACAAGGGCACCAGGACACAGTCAGGGGCAGGTGGTATGTGGTGTGGCAGGTGAAGCTGACCCACGAATGCCCACGTCTCATCAGAGTGCACGGGATCGAGCCCCACCTGCCCTTTTAACCCAGCTCCCCACTACCATGCACCCTGGGTAGTGCAAATGACTCAAGTCCTTGGGCCCCTGCCCTCGCGTGGGAGACCCAGACTGAGTCTCCGGCCCCCGGCTCCAGCCCGGCCCAGCCCCGGCTGCTGGGGGCGTCTGGGGAGTGAACCAGCCGACGGAGCCCATCCAGCTCACCTGCCTTTCCAATACACACAAACAAGCCACGTGGTCACATCAACTTCGTGGTTTCCTGGTGCACCTAGGCTGTGTACTCTATATTGTCGTCTTTTAAGTGTGTAAAAGCATATCTTTTAAAAAATGTGCTAATACATACCTTAATTTAAAGCTACTTTCTTGACAAAATGCTAACAATCATCTGCGCCTGCCAATCCTTGGTGCTGCTGAGGGGTCTCAACCCCGCGGTGGTGGGGGCCGAGTCATCACGGTGACAACTGAGCCGACGGTGGCAGGTGGCAGGTGGCAGTCCCGCCCAACAGTCGCACCCGCGCACTGTCTTCCTTCACGAAAAATCCCTCCAGTGTGAGATACCTCTTCATGCTGTTCTATCCATACAACTTCTTCAAAATGGGAGTCCGTGCTCCCAAATCCTGCTGTTTCATCAACTAGGTCAGCATGACGGCTGAAGCCTGTGCTGTCACTTCAGCACGGCGCACAGCATCTGCACCAGAAGATTCCCTCTCAGGAAGTCGCTTTGTTCTCCTAACAAGTAACTCCATCTCATGTCTTCAGTCTCATCACAGACTGAAGCACCAGTTGCATCTTCAGGCTCTTTTTTTTTTTTTTAAGATTTATTTATTTCAAAGGAAGAGATACACTTTGTGTATCTCAGAAGCAGAGAAAGGTCTTCCATCTGCTGGTTCACTCCCCACATGGCCGCAACGGCCGGAGCTGCGCCGATCCAAAGCCAGGAGCCGGGAGCTTCTTCCAGGTCTCCCATGTGGGTGCAGGGCCCAAGGACTTGGGCCGTCCTCCGCTGCTTTCCCAGGCCACAGCAGAGAGCTAGATCAGAAGTGGAGCAGCCGGGTCTCAAACCGGTGCCCATATGGTATGCTGGCGCTTCAGGCCAGGGCTTTAACCCACTGTACCATAGCGCCAGCCCCCACAATTGTTTTTAATGCCATCTAGAATGCTGAATCGTTTCCACAAACTTTTCAACTTACTCTGTTCATAGCAATCAGAGGAATCGCCATTTATGGCCGGTTTAGCCTTCCAAGATAAGTACTTCAAAAAGTCCATGAAATCCCGGGGCAGGCACTTGGCTAACAGTGAAGATGCTGCGTCCCTTCCTGGCGCTGCTTTAAGCGCTGGCTCTGCTTCCGGCTCATGTGCACTCTCAGAGCCAGCAGGAGGCAGCTCCCTGGTTATCAAAGCCCTCGACGGCACCTTCTTCCGACACAAGGTTACTTCATCTCTACTGAAAACCTGTTCAGCCACCGTCATGCCAGTGACCTCAGCCAGATCTTCTAGATGTACTGCAGCTCCTAAAGCAGCACTCGCTGCTCCAGTTCGTACTTCATGCTACGGGGTGTCCTCTTCCCTCAAACCTCACAAACATCCGCTAGCTTCAAACTCTCTCCTGCAGCTTTCTCACCCTCAGCCTTTATAAGAATTAAAGCGCTGGGGCTTGGACTGTGGCGCTGCGCTTAGAGCTGCCGACTGAAGCACCGGCATCCCATACGGGCACCAGTTCTAGTCCCGGCTGCTCCTCTTCCAATCCAGCTCTCTGCTGTGGCCTGGGAAAGCAGTGGAGGATGGCCCAAGTGCTTGCGTCCCTGCACCCGCATGGGAGACCTGGAAGAAGCTCCTGGATCCTGGCTTCAGATTGGCGCAGCTCCAGCCACTGCGGCCACCTGGGGGAGTGAGCCAGAGGATGGAAGACCTCTCTCTGTCTCTACCTCTCTCTGTAACTCTGTCTTAAAAAAAAAAGAAAGAAAGAAAAAACAAAAAGAGTGAGAAGCTGGAGGTTCTTTGTTAAAGGCAAAGGTTAGGCTTTCCGTGGCTGCTCTTCCACGTTCTAACCCTGGAAACCTAACTCAGGGCATCAGTTTTGTTTTTTAAAGATTTATTTATTTGAAAAGCAGAGATATTGGGGCTGGCGCCATGGCGCAATAGGTTAATCATCCGCCTGAGGTGCCAGCATCCCATATGGCTGCCTGTTCTAGTCCCGGTTGCTCCTCTTCCACTCCAGCTCTCTGCTGTGGCCTGGGATAGCAGAAGATGGCCCGAGTGCTTGGGCCCCTGCATCTGCATGGGAGACTTGGAAGAAGCTCCTGGCTCCTGGCTTTGGATCGGCGCAGCTCCGGCCATTGCAGCCATTTGGGGAGTGAACCAATGGAAGGAAAACTTTTCTCTCTGCCTCTCTGTCCATAACTCTGCCTGTCAAATAAATAAATAAAATCTCAATAAAAGAAAAGCAGAGATAGACAGAGAGACCTTTCATCTACTGGCTAACTCCCCAGATGGCTACTAGACTAAGGCCGAAGCCAGAAGCTTCAGTCGGGTCTCCCACGTGGGAGTAGGGGCCCAAGTACTTGAGCCATCTTCGGCTGCTTTCCCAGGCCATAGCAGAGAGCTGGACTGGAAGTGGAGCAGCCGGGACTTGAACCATCAACACCCATATGGGATACCAAAATCACAGGAAGCAACTTAACCTGCTACACCACAGCACCAGCTTTAGCACAAAGACACTGTATAGCTTCATAATTCAAAAACTTTGTAGAACTCAAGTTTCTCAATAGATTCATAACAAATTACCCTACCATGTGTATACTGTACACATCTCTACGGTCTGTGTTCTGTTTTTCATCAGATAAATGTAACAGACCAAATACTCAAAGTCACACATTTAAAACTGTACCTGGGGCTGGCACTGTGGCATATCAAGTAAAGCTGCCACCTGCAGTGCCGGCATCCATGTGGGCGCCGGTTCAAGACCCAGCTGCTCCACTTCCAATCCAGCTCTCTGCTGTGGCCTGGGAAAGCAGTAGAAGATGCCCCAAGTCCTTGGGCCCCTGCACCCACGTGGGAGACAGGGAAGAAAATCCTGGCTCCTGGTTTCGGATCGGTGCAGCTCCAGCCACTGCAGCCATCTGGGGAGTGAACCAGCAGATGGAAGACCTGTCTCTCCTTCTCTAACTTGTTCAAATAATAAATAAATCTTTAAAAAAAGAAACTGGGCTTGCTGTTTAAAAAAAAAGAACGCGCTGTCTCTCTCACTGCGGTCTTATGACTGCAAAGCATGCCTGTTCGCAGAGGCTTATACCATTTGCCCACAGAAAAGAAAGCAGCTATTGACTTACCTTCAAGAGACCCAAACCATTCACATACATGAACACAACACTGACAGAAACAAAACCCAAATGACTCCGTTTTGCAAAATTATTTTACACCAAAAATGCTGCATCTTACAATCCTTGAGTGTGATTCCGCTCCATCAGTGAGCAATACTTGCTCAGCATGTTCTACGCACCGGGAGTTAGAACTGACTCTCCTGTCCCCCTCTGACAAGTAACGCCACCCAATGTCAGTTACCTCGTGCAAGAAGGGCAACTCATCTCTCGCTCTGTGGTATTCAGCCACACACTCCAGGCAGTAGCACAGGTCCTCATCGGCTGTCTGGAAGTCGCTGGACAGGGTCTTGGATGCATAGCGCTTCAGGAAGTCGACGGTGGAAACGCCACCGGGCGTACACCAGCAGCACGTGCTCATTCTGCACCTGAACACCGAAGACAGCGCGCGAGTCAGGGAAAGCCACACTTCAGCCTGCGCTGCGGGAGGAGCGGCTCGCTCTGCACTGTGACCCCATCATCAGCGTACAAAGGGCCTCCCCAGCCAGCACGCTCTGCTGGCCACTTTATCCGTCAAACTCAAAAACAAAATCTTGAAAATCTTACATCTGACACACAAAAAATATTGAGAAATGAAGTCATTTCACTAGTAACAAATATCATAAGGCAACATACAGTTGTGCTACAAAGAAAACAAAACCGTGCAGAACTGATAAAAACTCAGAGACAGAGACTTATCAGCATTTTCAGAGTACGGATCCTGAAGTGCTCCAGCAACGTGCTGGAGTCAAAGCAACAGACGGGGCCAGCACTGTGGCACGGCAGGAAGAGTCGCCGCCTGCAGCGCCAGCATCCTATATGGGCACCAGTTCGGGACCCAGCTATTCCATTTCCGATCCAGCTCTCTGCTATGACCTGGGAAAGTAGCAGAAGATGGCCCAAGTCCTTGGGCCCCTGCACCTGTGTGGGAGACCCAGAAGAAACTCCTGGCTCCTGGCTTCAGATCGGCACAGGTCCGGCCACTGTGGCCATCTGGGGACTGAACCAGCAGATGGAGGACTTTCTCTCTTTCTCTCTCTCTGCGTAACTCTGACTTTCAAATAAATAAATCTTAAAAAAAAAAAAAAGCTAATAGACGGTTCACTGTTAGTAAACAGTTACTGTCGTTAAAAAAACAAAACCCTCCCTGGATAACTCACTAAATAAATAGGCTAGGGCAGGGAAAATGCTGGAAGGTCTTACAATGCCACAGCGTCAACCTGAAAGAGCTCCCTGTGGCTGAGGCTGAAACCATCCGCAGGAACGGCTTGAGTAACGCAGGGCAGCAGGCGGCAGCAAGGGCCAGGCCCTGCCACTCTCACCAGACACCCAGACTGAGCTCCTGGCTCCGGCCGGCCCAGCCCCAGCCACTGCAGGCACCTGGGAAGCGAACTAGCTGATGGAGAGACACCTTTTTTCTTTTTTCTTTTTAAAGAGAGGAGAGGCAGAGAGAGAGGTCTTCCATCCGCTGGTTCACTCCCCAACTGGCCGCAACAGCCAGAGCTGTGCTGATCCGAAGCCAGGAGCCAGGAGCTTCTTCCAGGTCTCCCACGTGGGTGCAGGGGCCCAAGCACTTGGGCCATCTTCCACTGCTTTCCCAGGCCATAGCAGAGAGCTGGATCGGAAGTGGAGCAGCCGGGTCTTGAACTGGCGCCCATATGGGATGCCCGCGCTTCAGGCCAGGGCGTTAACCCACTGTGCCACAGCGCCAGCCCCGAGACACCTCTTTAGCTCTGTCTCTCTGCCTTTCAAATCAATTAAACAAAAACTTTCTTAAAGAATAAACATAAACAGATAGTCCTTATTCCTGGCGATGTACTTTATTAATCCTAGCTCCCTCGAACACGGGCCGGTCTTAGTAAATCACCTCCAAGGAACAGAGTTAGGTAGGAGAAAAACTGCCAACTGTCTAGTGCAGGCAGAACTTTCTCAAGGAGTCCCATTAACCTGACCGGGTAAGTCCCGCCGCTGCCCCGATCGCTGTGCTGAGGAGGGAGCGTCAGTCCTGAGACACTTCCTCGAAGCCCACAGCCCCAGTCTGCTCATGAGGAACCAGGCAAGTCCAGTGTTTACAGTGTGCCAGTGCACCCACGGCATGAGAAGCGCTTAGTGGGACAGCACAGGGCCTCGTCCCTGAGGAAAGCACACGCACAGTGCTCACGTGTGGTGCACAGGGTGGCACGTGTGCAGGTCACACGCAAGTTCCTGGGAGGGGAATTAGGAAAAAGCCTCCTTTCAAAGCGGAAGGGACGAGCAAAGGTTAAGAGCTAAGTCGGGGCTGGTGCTGTGGCAGAGTGGGTAAAGCTGCCGCTCGCTCGCTGCCTCTCCTTCTCTGTGTAACTCTGACATTCAACTACAAATAAATCTTTAAAAACAAAAAGAATTCTAAGTCACTGGATATCTGCATAAAACCTTGCTAGTGACAGACTTTTAAATAAGTATCACTCTAAAATTCAGGGTGCATAATCTTTGCTAATGAGATATCATTAACATTTTGAAATAAATTAATCTTTACTGCTGAGGCTTCTGCGGCATAATAATTCCTAAAATAAAATGATGTTTAACCTAATTTCTTTTTATGCCCATGATTGATTACATACTCAAGGGTGCTTCAAAAACTTCACAGATTCTTTCTTTCAATTAAACAAGCCAGGAGTGGGCCTCTGGGACCCACACTCTGGGTCTGTGCCCCAGCTCCTGCTAACGCACACCCCGATGGCAGCAGGTGGCGGTGCTAAGAGCTGGACTCCTGCCACCCACACAGGAGGCCCACACCGAGTTCCTGGCCCATGGCTTCAGCTGGCGTCTGGGGAGTGAACCAGCAGATGAGAGTCTCGACCTCTTCCCTTTACATAAAGCAAGCAAGCTTATGGAGAAAGGGATTAAAAGATACTGCAAGGGCCAGCTACAGCTCAGTGGGTAAAACTGCGGCCTGCAGTGCGGCGTCCCACACGGGCACCGGTCTGAGTCCCAGCTGCTCCACTTCCCATCCCGCTCCCTAGTAATGCGCCTGGGAAAGCAGCAGCAGCAGATCCAACCTCTGGACGCCTGCACCCGCATGGGGGACCCGGAGGAAGCTCCCGGCTCCGGGCTTCAAACCGGCCCAGCTCGGCCATCACGGACATTTGGGGAGTGAACCAGTGGAGGGAAGATCGCCTTCTATCTCTCCATCTCTCTAACTCTGCCTTTCAAATAAATAAATAAATCTTTAAGAAAATAAAGATAATGCAAGGTGGGTGTTTGGCCCAGGGGTTAAGACCCCCGCATAGTATTACCTTGGTTCCTAGTTCCAGCTTCCTATTAATATAGACCTTGGGAGGCGGCAGTGACGGTTGAAGTTCATGTTCAACTGCAGACGCCTGCCCTTTCTGGACACTAATTCAGCTGCATTTTACTGAGGTCTACCTTTTACAAAGGTACTACAGATTAGGGAATACCTAAGAAATGTTTTTTCAGAACATCAAATTATTGTATTCAAAAAATTTCTTGTATGTGAAAGGCCAAACATATAATACTACAAAGTCGGGGCCAGCGTGTGGCACAGCGGGTTAAGCCACCGCCTGCACTGCGGGCACCAGCCAGTAACAGCTGTTCACTTCCGATCCAGCTCTCTGCTGTGGCCTGGGAAAGCAGCAGAGGATGGCCAAGTCCTTGGGTCCCTGCACCTGCATTGGAGACCCGGAGGAAGCTCCTGGCTCCAGATCAGCCCAGCTCCAGCCGTTGTGCCCATTTAGGGAGTGAACTTGTGAATGGAAGACCTCTCTCTGCCACTCTGCCTTTTAAATAAATAAATCAATCTTAAAACAACAACACCGGATGGGGCCAGCAGTGTGGCGTAGCAGGTAAAGCCGCCAACAGCCGTGCCAGCATTCCATGTAGGCACCAGCCTGAGTCCCGGCTGCTCCACTTCTGATGGAAACTTTGTCTCTCCCTCTCTCTCTAACTCTGCCTTTCAAATAAGTAAAATAAATCTTTAAAAAATGATAGATGCGGGCCAGCACCATGGCTCACTTGGTTAATCCTCCACCTGCGGCGCCGGCACCCCATGTCAGCGCTGGGTTCTAGTCCTGGTTGCCCCTCTTTCAGTCCAGCTCTCTGCTGTGGCCTGGGAAGGCAGTGGAGGATGGCCCAAGTGCTTGGGCCCTGCACCCCATGGGAGACCAGGAAGAAGCTCCTGGCTCCTGGCTCCGGATCGGTGCAGTGCCGGCCATGGCAGCCATTGGGGGAGTGAACCAACGGAAGGAAGCCCTTTCTCTCTCTCTCTCTCTCTGTCTATAACTCTGTCAAATAAGTTAAAAAAAAAAAATGCTGGCTGCTCCCCCAGAGGCAGTCAGGGGTTCGCCAGAGCCGTGATTTCTCAGTGTTAACCAGTCAGACTTCAGCGACAAGCCTCTTCTATTCTCCCCAACTACCTGTCTTCGAGAACAAATCCCCCACATCTCCCACTCAGCGCCTCTGCTCTCCGGCTCTACCCTTACGCAAGCCCCACTCGCGTCTTCATGGAAGTTCCCCCTGAAGCGCTCTCCCCCCAGATCCTCCACAGCACAGGACGACGCTGGCCACGCTCTCCGCGGCTCCGGCGGCAGACCCTTCTCCCCCTCTTCCTCGTGTGCACCCCCGAGTTTCAGAGGCCCTCCCGACACTGCTAGCTTCCTCGTGCAGTCTCTCTCTCTGGGTCGTGGGGAATCCCACAGGAATCTGAGAAGACTTACGGATCACCACTAACCCAATAAAAACAAAGCCCAAACTGAAGCAGCTCCTGCTAAGCTGGGAGACGGAGGAGCCCGAGGCCAGGGCACCCGCAGCCTGCGGACGAGCCGTGACCGGCGCGCTCACCCCCTTCTCCCAGACACCTGCAGCTCCAACCTTACGCCGCACACGTGCCTGGCCCTCAGCCCCGTGCGTTATGCACACATTCGCGGAGCGGCAGTCAGCAAGCTCACAGTGAGAAGGCCGTGTGACTGTGCGTCCTCCCCGTGCTCCGCCGAGCTGCGTGACAGCAGGCGCCCGCGACACGGAGGCCCCAACCCACACCGGGGCGCTCCCAGCACAGCGCCAAAGCTTTGCAGACTGAGAATGCACTTCAAACTGACCGCCACTCCCGGGCAGGCAGGTGAGAGTACCAACAACCGGCTGTACCCCGGAGCAAGCCCTCCCCGCGAACCCTCCGGCCCTCACTCGCTCGCTGCCGGCAGGGAGCGGCCCCGGGTCCCGGCAGCAGCGCCCCGGATCACAGCCCCAGTGCCTCGGACTCCCCTCAAGGCCGAAGGACACCTGCGCCGCGGGGCTGCGGACGACGGCACGTGTGCTCCAGGCTCTGGCCGTCCTCTCCCCGCCAGGGCCCGGCCGTCTCCCCCACACCGGGGCCTCTCGACAAGCGACTGGAAAAGCATTACCTGGCGAAACGGCCGCGGAGAAGAGTCCCTCAGGGCCACTACTGGCGGGGGCGCGCCGAGCTCCGCGCACAGACGCGCATTTCTGAAACTGACAGACGGACAGCGCTGAGCGCCGCGCCCCCCCCACGCCGGGCTCCCCCCTCCGGGCGGCCGGGCCAGGCCCCGCGCCCCGCGCCCCGCGCCCCGCAGAGGACGCGAGCCGGCGGGGGCCGCCCGGGAAGCCGCCCCTCGCCGCAGCGGCCGCGGGGGCAGCCGGCGGGCGACGGCGTCCGGGGACCGGCGCTTCCCGCGGCGACGGCCCCCGCCCTCCCGCGCGGACCTGGGCAGGGGCCGCACCCTGAAGACCCGCACGAGGCCGCAGGCGGAGGCCGCGAAGGGACCGAGGGTCCGGGCAGGAGGCACGAAGGGGCCGGCCCGGCCGCCGCGACCCTCCCCGGGCGAGGGAAGGGGCCCACCCGCGCCGCCCCATTCCCCCACGCGCCCGGACTCACGCGCCGCGGCGGTTACTCCCAGCAGTCCCGCGCGCCCGCGCAGCGCAAGCACTCACGCAGTCCGGCCTGCAGCCTCGAGCCCGCCGCTCGGCCCACCCCGCTCGGCCCGGCGCCGCCCGCTAGCCCACCTCCATGCCCCGGCCCCAACAGCCGGCCGCAGGCGGAAATACGCGCGCCCCGACCGCGGCCTCCGCTCCCCAGGCCACGCCCCCCGCAGCCGCCGGCGCGCGCAGGCCCCGCCCCGGCCGCGGCGGTCTCGTTTGAGCGCGTCGAGGGGCGGGGCGTGGGAGGGGAGGCCGCGAGGGCGCCGCCAGGAGGCGCACACGCCGGGCGAGACGTCACTTCCGGGAGGCCGGGGCCGGCCAATCTGAGCGCGATGCCATTGAACTAGGAGCGAACATGGGGCAAGCTGTCTCGCGCACTCGCATAGCCAGAGCGCTGTCCGTGCGGCCGTTTCCGCCGCGTCCTCTTCCGTGTCGACGCCTTAAGGTGTTTCAGGACGGCGGAGCAATTCGTGTTCTCTTTAAATTTCCTTCAAGAGACCTGAAACAGAATAAAGGCCTTATTTTTGGGGGGGGAGAATGAAACGCTTTGTATCAGAACAGGGCCATTTTTAGGAATTGTGAAGGACCCCAGGGGGCCCCCCCGGTTCGGCCCTCGCGATGGGGATCCCGGCTGCTCCCTCGGGGTCCAGCCTCCCCGCCGGGGTAGCCGCGCAGGCCCGGCCCTTGGGCCGCGGGAGACCCAGGTGGGGCTAACGGCCATCTGGGGAGCGGCCCAGGGGGCGGCGGCTTCTGTCCCCGCCCCCGCCCCATCGCTGTCGCTTTCCCCTTCGAAGCAACCAGCAGAGAAGCGCCGGCGCCACGGAGCACAGCGAAGGCCGCGGCCCGGGGGCGGCGGCCCTGAGGCCGAGGACGACGCGGGCGGCTCGGCCACGGACGCTCTTACCCCCGAGAGCCCCGCGCCCGGAATGAGCAGGAGCCGGGGAAGGCTGGGGGGATGACCCCGGCCCAGAAGGTTCTGCGAGGGGGCGTGGCTTGGCAGCGCCCCCGCCCCGGGGGTCGCGAGCGTGGAAGTTGGGGCTCGCGACGGCGACCGTTATTCCCCGCCCCCACTGTCCCGTCCTATTCAAATGCAGTCGTGCAACTGTCTTAGGCCTTGGTGTGTGTGTGCGCGCGCGGGTCCTGTCCAAAGCAAGATCTGGGTGGCTCTACTAAGAACTCTCTATTTTAATACTTTTTTTAAAAAAGAGCTAAACCAGATGGTGAAAATGACCCGGGTTTCTTTCTTTCTTTTTTTTTTTTTTTTTGCAGGAGCCAGGTGCTTCTCCTGGTCTCCCATGGGGTGCAGGGCCCAAGCACCTGGGCCATCCTCCGCTGCACTCCCGGGCCACAGCAGAGAGCTGGCCTGGAAGAGGGACAACCGGGACAGAATCCGGCACCCCGACCGGGACTAGAACCCGGTGTGCCGGCGCCGCTAGGCGGAGGATTAGCCTAGTGAGCCGCGACGCCAGCCTGAAAATGACCTAGGTTTCTGTGCCCCGCAGATAGGGTCGACACTGGGCTGTACGCCCTCGTCGGGTGCCCTCTGCAGATTAGCCTTGTGGTCTTTGAGTTTATTAGGAGTAGCCCTGAACCAATGCAAAGTGCAAAGTCGCTGAGCGCAGTGAGAGAAAGAGGAGACCCGGCCTCTGGGGAGCCCACCCCCCCCCCAACAAGTTCTAGTTTTAAAAGCACACGAAAGTGATTTAACTTAAAAAAAAGTTATGTATTTGAAACGCAGAGTGACGGAGAGAGAGAGACTCTTCCATCCCCTGGTTCACTCCCCACGTGGCCACCACACTCCATGCTGGGCCAGGCCGGAGCCAGGACCCAGGCACTCCACGCGGTCTCCCTCACGGGGGCGGCAGGGGGGCCCAAGCACTTGGTCCGTCTTCCACTGCTTTTCCGGGCGCATTAACAGCTGGGTCAGGAGGGGCACAGGCAAGACTCAAACTGGCGCTCCAATTTGGGATGCCGGCAACACAGGCGGCAGCTTAACCCTCGGCGACTCAATGCCAGCCTCTACTTTTTATAAAATAAGAAAAAAGGTGAGATTCGGGGTTGCAGAAAATATTCACTCTGTGAAAGGTTCTCTCAAGGTCATGATTAAGCTTGGTGGCGCTGCGTCAATTTTTCCAGCTGTCAGATTTCATTTCTCAAACTTCTGTTCCCGCATTGTGCGTGGTGTTGTTGCAGGGATGGGAGGCAGAGTTTTAGGACAGCGAACAGCCTACGTTTCTGAAAGACCAGGAACGAAAGCAGGTCTCAGCTTAGACTCTAGGGGCCAGTGCTGCGGTGTAGCAGGTAAAGCCGCTGCCTGCAGTGCCCACATCCCATATGGGCGCGGGTTCGAGTCCTAGCTGCTCCACTTCTGATCCCGCTCTCTGCTATAGCCTGGGAGAGCAGTAGAAGATGGCCCAAGTGCTTGGGTCCCAGCACCCACATGGGAGACCTGGAAGAAGCTCCTGTCTTTGGATCTACCCAGCTCTGGCCGTTGTGGCTGTCTGGGGATTGAACCAGCAGCTGGAACACAAGACCTCTCTCTCTCTCTCTCTCTCTCTGCCTCTCTGTAACTCTGCCTTTTGAATCAATAAATTTAAAAAAAAATTTTAAACAAAAAGAAAAACTTGTACCCTAAGACTGACTTGGCTCAGAGCCTGTTCCCAAGGCCACAGGACAAAAGCACAGTCTGTGCGACTGTAGGAGCTGGCCACAGAGAGAGCTCAGGGCCTTGAGTTTATTTTGGAACGTTTGTTTACAGCCAAATTTGTAAAGAGGGCAGAGGGACTCCCGCCAGAGGTCCTGGGCTGGGTGACATCCTTGGGGACCCACCCAGGTTGGTTAGTTGGTTGGTTGCTTTTTAAGATTGATTCTATTTGTTTGAAAGACACAGTTGCAGAGACACAGAGATTGTCCTGGTTCACTCTCCAAATGGCCGCAACAGCCAGGGCTGGGCCAGGCCGGGCCAGGAGCCAGAGCTCCGTCCGGGTCTCCCACGTGGGTGGCAGAGGCCCAAGCTATCTCCTGCCTCAGTATCAAAGCACTCAAAGTTTTCTGGTGTAGTTATTGAACATAAATACTTCAGATTGGAAAGTACTTGCTCATCATAGACCTTCTCATTTTTAGATTGAGTCTTTCAAAAAACAATGAAATTTTTATGGCTTTTTTTTTCCATGTTGAATGTGTGATTCATCCATCTCCTTAATTAAGATTCCCAGGGGCCAGCCCTGTGGTGCAGTAGGTTAAGCATCCGCCTGTGGTGCCAGCATCTCATATAATAAAAAATTATTTAAAAAACACAGAGAAGAATAAAACCTTTGTGAAAATACGTATCCGGAACGGGTACCGAACTCCTGCAGCTTAATCAGGCAAATGATCCAACTCCTAAAAGGTGGCGATACCAACTGCCAGGGAGCAGGCTGACCTGTGATTGGTGGGCCACAGGGACATGTGACAACCAAGAGCAGCGGTTGATTGGCAAGGCTTGGCTTCAGAGGGGGAGGGCTGTGCCTTAAGGAAGCCCAGCCCTTAGGGGCCGGGGAGGAGAAAAGAGACAGAGTTTCCTCCCTTCTTTTTCAGTGGGACTGAAACACACACCAGGCCCTGCAGGGGCGGCCGCGGGCAGTCCCCGGGGCTCAGGGTACCCGGGTTAGTCACTAATGGCAGGCTCTCATCGCGGGCCAGCCGCGAGTGAACCAGGGCATGATGTGAAGTCAGGCAGGGCCTGGAGCCGGCCACCACTGCGGTGGCAGGGCTGATGAGGGTGAGAGACGATCGAGTCAGCGTGATGGCCAGTATCGACTGGGTCCCTCGAGCATTACCAGCTGGGCCACAGCTCTCCCATGCTGGATGGGAGCCGACCGTTGTATGTGGCCATCCAAACCGGTCTCAGTGCTTCTGCTGTTTTCTGTGCCTGCTGGCACCTCGCTCACGCTGGGGCCTGGTCAGCCCAGACAGGCCGTGTGGTGGAATGAGAAGGCCATGCCAAGATGGCCACTGGCAAGCGAGCGTCAGTTACTCAGGAATGGCTTTGGAAACCCCCTGGGAACCCCCCTGGCAAAGGAGCCTGCCTGGCAACAGGCTGTGATTGGTTGGGGCGTAAACCGCCCCTTGACCGGATTGGCTGCCTTGGCTATTTAAGCTGCTGTAGCAACTGAAATAAAGGAGTCGGTGGGCTGCTCACCTCTGGACTGCTTTCACCTGGCTCCCTGGTCTGTGTGGTGACTCCGCGCCTCTTGCCCCCACCGCACCAATCCACAGCAACAAGACCGGGGACGATGAGTGGTGCTGGCAGAGCTGGTGGCCCAGGGGGTCCTTTCTCACTCACATGCCTACTCTCTGCGGTCAATTCCACGGTCATAGAGATCTGTGGCTGGCGAGGCGGTGACCCGGAGTGGTTCCCAGGGAGTTCTCCGCTCGGTCACTTTTGCCAAAATGGCTTCACTTACGTCAATTTATATTCACACACAAAACGGCTGCTCCTGGTGCACGCTTTGCACTGAAGGGCCGTGTCTCAGGAAGCAGCAGCCCTGCAGGGCGAGCAGGGAGCATTTCTGCGTTTTCCGGGGCTTGGAGCCTGTGGTTGCCTGGGCTCCTGCTAGCATCAGTGTCCACTGCAGTTACCTGTGCCAGCGAGGCAGAAATTCTGCACCAGCCCGGGGGGGGGGGGTCCTCTGGGTGGGAGGACAGGTGCGCGCGCTCAGGAGCTCCCCGAGATAACCGGGGGTGAGGCGCCCTGTAAAAGAGGCCTCGGGAGGGAAAAACCTTTGCTGCATCTACGTGTTATTCTCTCTCCTAACACGCACGCCATTAGCTCCACGCATGCGTTATCAAAGACCTGCACCCGAGGGGCACTGCGACCCTCCAGAGTGACTGAAACTCAAAAGATGTGCCAGAGGAAGCGCTGGCAAGGCTTGTGGGGCGCGGGGAAGTCTCAGACATTGAGGATGGCAACGGAAAACGGCAAAACCATTGCTGGAAGCGAATCCTTCTCGTAAAGGTTCATTTTGTGTATCTGAAAGGCAGAGTTACAGAGGGAGAATCTTCCATCCTCTGGCTCACTCCCCAAATGGCCACCGTGGCCAGACCTGGGCCAGGCCAAGGCCGGGGGCCTGGAACTCCGTCCAGGTCTCCCGCATGCGTAGTGGGG